GGCGGCGGAGTCGACGAGGGCACGCATGGACTGGCATATGCGGATTCTTTGGAAGAAAGTCAGAGAGCAAGTTGGCCAATGGACCAGGACGGCGCTGTCAGGCAGCACGCAGGCGGCCCGCAACTACATCAGCAAACATGAAAGACGAGACCTACCAGACACAGCAGTGGGCCCAGTCACGAAGGAGGAGACAGGCGCTCTACGCGACGCTACTGCAAGTCGTGCAAGGATTTGGCAGACGAGGTGGCAGAGGCACAACAGCAGTCAGAAGTTGGAGGAGGCGATGGCCAACTTAAGACGAGCGGCGCAGGACGAACTACCTCAGCGGGAGTACTATAATATTGACGACCTGGAAGCAGCGCTCCCGAAGTTCCGACCTACTACAGCGCGTGGTCCTGACCAGTGGCAACCACCCGAGATCAAGGCCCTACCGCCCGATGACAAGCGCAGCCTGGTCTTCGTGATCAGCTCGCGCGAGCGGAACCGATGCTGGCCACGCGAATTTTACCACCTGTGGTACCACCCATTGGTCAAAGCTGGCTCTAACACTGCTGGCGAGGAAAGGCCAATTGGACTACTACCCATCCATGTGCGATTGTGGGGGCAAAATGGCAAAGAGCGAAATGCAAGATTGGTGCGCAGAGAAAGCGGGCTACTGGGATGAAGCAATCCAAGGTTCCTCGGCTCTTCGTGCAGCGTTACTTTTTATGTCGCTTGACTAGACCAGCGCGAAGCTCAAAGGATCACTATATGGCGCATTCTACTTGGACTTAGAAAAAAATTACGACGGCGTGGATTTGAGCATCTTGATCAAAGGAGCCACGCAGCTTGACTATCCGAAGCTCAACTTATACATGAGTATGTTAATGTATCTATCCCCGCGCGTGGTACGCGCATGCCACGATCATGCTGCACCAATATGCCCATGGAACGGCATAGTGGCTGGATGTGCATCGGCAAACCACGCAGCGAGGGCCATGATCTACATTATCTTGGACATCACCCACAATGCAGCGCCGCTTGCCATCGCGAGGGGGTGCGTTGATGACTTGCACATGAGAGTCGAAGGTCGAGCCGAACAGTTCCAGGGGCAGTTCCCAGTGGCGGTTGATGTGCTTGTGCAGGCTTGCCTGGACTCAAAGCTGGTGGTCTCAGGAAAGTCAACGCCCCTCGCGAACTGCGACGCGACCAAGAAGTGCATCGTGAAGCACCTCAAAGGCAAGGGCGTCAGCATTAAGACTACCAAGTTCGTCAAGGACCTGGGCATAGATGCGGCACTGGGAAGGCAGCGCGTCACAGCCACGCGAACTACCAGGACTAAGCAGGCAAAGCTACGCGCAAAGCGTGCCAGGATCTTCAGCAAGCAGAAGGGCAAATGGCGGCGAAGGACGGCGATGCTCTCCAATTCCAACCTGAGAGCCAAGCAGAGCTACGATTGGCCAGTTACAAGGCTCAGTCCAACTGCAGCGCGTGAAGCGCGAGCTCAGGCGGCAGAGATGGTTGGATTTACAACTGGCGGCAGATGCACATAAACAACCAACATCATTTTTTACGGCGAGAACGAGCCAGCTACAGCACGCCTGCAGCGACAAGTACGTGAATGGGTCCAGATGTGGCAAAAGGATACCTCAGCACATCAACCACTACGACATGGCTGACAAGCTAATGTCGAACGTCTGGCCCAGATGCGAATCCGTGGAAAGTGGAACTCAGCGACAGGACCAATGGGGGCACTTATTCTCTCATTGCAACAGCTGGGGTGGAATACACGCATGCCAGATGAGTGGGAGGATGCTAGTGGCGAGACGTGGAGGTTCCAGGGTGAGGGAGTGCTCGGCCTTCGCGACATCATGAAGTCCATCACCAGGGACATGCAAACTCAGCTCTGGACCAAAGCAGCGGACCACTACTACGGTAAGGGCATGCAGCACGGGATGGACACCACCATGCTCAAGAAGACGCTCCAGAAACTACGTAAAGCTGGCCGAGTCCAAGAAGCAGGCGCGTTAGAAGCACTTGCCTGTGGCACGATATGGACAGGACAACGATGTAAAGTAGCAGGATACCAGACAGATGGAGCTTGTCCGCGTTGTACTAAGGCGCCTGACACGCTGAAGCACAGGATCTACGAGTACGAAATGAACGACAACCCCCAGATTGACGCGGTGGTCAAGTCACAGTCGTTATGTCAGAAGGCCTTAGAGGAGATGCGCGAAAACCCAGAGACGGAGGCATACTGGCTACGAGGGCTACTCCCCGATCACAGGAACCCTGTACCTGATCCACCAGCATGGGGCGATTGGAATGGCAGCTACTGGACGACAGCAACAAGAGGACCCAAATTAATAGCAAGCAATTTGGTCACGATGGATCCCGCTCAGTGCAGCATGGCTTTCGTAGATGGGTCAGGCACCAGCAACGACATGCGCATCAATAGAGTGGGATGGGGCCTCGCATTACAGCCACGAGATGAACGATGGAAGCGGCCAGGGCAAGCGCACATGTGGTGCCCCAACGCCCTCGTGGCACAAGGGGGCCCAACTGAGTTGTGCCATGAAGCAGAGGCTAGTGCACCAACGGACACAGACGCGGAGGAGCAGAGAAAGGGCATCATGCACGACAGTGGCATATGGGCAGCTACATGGACGGTATACATCGACCTAGACGAGGCCAGGAACCAAGCTAATTGGAAGATGTGGTGTGAACCGTACATGGAAAGCTACCTGCGACAACCAGAACAAGCAGCACTACGACAATTACTCAAAGCAAGACACCAGACCCGAAGCACTAGCCAGATCGCGAAGGACCTTTGTGATATGCAATGGGGATCGCCCAAGACGAAGCGGAAAGACGTGTACGATTATTCCCTCACCCTTACGGGCTGGGAAAGAGAAGCATACATATCCCACTGGTTCGACAACGTAACGGACATCAAGGCCAAGTTCCGCGAACTATTGCAAGACCGAGCACCCACTTTCGACCAGGAAATGCCTGAAAATTATGAAGGCAATGCTGGGGACCGACCAGCAGCCATGCATGTGGTGGCCCACGGGATCTACAAGGCCAGCCTGCCGAACGACAGCACGGGTTTCATTGAAGGCACAGACCATATCGGGTTCTGTGGCACCGTAAATGGAGAACAAAGTGTACCTGCTGCTGAACATGCAAGACTTTTCTGGGCACTGGCGCTGACGCGAGGCCCGTTATTGATCATCATTGACTGCCAGATGGTTATGAATGGTTGGACCCTCAAGTATTACGAGCAGCCCCAAGGTGCTCAGCGACCATGGTGGAAAAATGATAAAACTTATGCTCAGCAGGCGGTCTGGCGGTGTGTATGGAGTACGTGTCCAGAAGTGCTTATCCCACCTCGACGGCGAATCGGTTAAGCAGGCTGGCCAGGAGTTCCACATCAGCATGGGCAATGAGATGGCGGATACGTTGGCGCAGCGAGGAGCAGACGAGGCAATGGCAGAAATACGGCAGGAGGTCAAGGCGTTGGTGGAAGTGGAGACTACACTTATGAGGGCCCAAAGGCGGGCAGCAACGATCATCCACGAGGTGTGCAAGGATGCGGACCCCACCAAGCTTGAGAGGCCCAAGCAGATGCCTAAGAAAATAGCAAAGGAAAGAAGAGATCAGATCGAGAAGAGTCGGGCCACATAATGCGAAAGAAGAAAGGGCAATGGGTATGCCAAGAGTGCTGGCTAACCCCAGGCAAGTACAGCGTGGTCGACTGGATGAAGGCTAACGTGTGCATCGGGAGGCAGTACGAGACACACCGAGCAGATCATGGACATGCAGTCCGTGTTCCCAACAACGAGCTGATTGAGATCAAAGACAAAGTGATCCACGACAGCCACAGCATTGCAGTGGACCATGGGCAGTTCTGGTGCTGGAATTGTGCTGCGGTGGCTTCGCACAACGACTACGGACACGGCAGAGAGAACCTACTGGCGACGGAGTGCAGGAACAAGATCACGCAGAGCGGGACTACTGTACTTCGTCGGCTACGACAAGGATTACCACCAAAGGCTGGCCAGAATTGGCCAGATGGGACGATCCCGCCTAACGGCGGGCGGCTACCACGAGTTGCAGCTGGGCGACGACCTCGTGGTTGACCTCATGGCATGGGGCTACGGCCCCGCAGAGATACTCTGGCCTGGAGTGTCAGTGGGGTGGACGCCCGCCCTGCTCAGGGGGCGGGGTCGCGACCCCTGAGAGCCCGCGCGGCCTGCGCGGGCGGGGGCCGCGGCGGCCGAGTCGACCGCGGAGCCCCTCGCTCGAATGTCCTCGAATGTCCTCCTCCAGGAGCATGCCGACTGCGCGCCGAGGTTCGGGGACACGCCAGCGCGGACTGCGGATCGGTGCATCTGGCGCGCGGGCGCCGGACGTCCCTGGATCGGGGGCAGATTCCCACAACAGAGGGCCAGTGCCGCCTGACTTGGCAGAATGCGCCGATGCCGTATTCGGGCGGGGTCCGTCGCTAATCCACGCGCCGTACAATAGGAGCTCGACCACAAGAAACCTTACACAAGAAACCCAACCCTGAGACCCCAGGACGTCCATTGATTTCTGGTGTGGGAGCGTCGCGCTCTCCACCGCAGAACCACCGAAAACCAAGAAACTCAGGGCACCCTGGAGGCAAGCAGGGTATTTCTTGGTATTGGCCCCCACTGTAATCCCTGTGTTGAGCAGGGGCCGACCGTCCCGGCATTCCTATAGTCATACCAAGAAATGCTCTTAGAACCCAAAAATGTTCTAAGAACCAATTCGATGTTCTTAGAACATAGGCCCGATGGGTTGAAACAAGACAGTCCCAGCCAGAAATGTTCTGAGAATCTCTCATGGGAACCACAAACAAATCTTAGAACATTGCTTGGTGGGGCTATAGGCGAACCGGGACGCTTCGCCACTGCTTGACTGTGTGCGCTCCCTCGCGAGGTCAAGCCGAGCCAAGCACGGAACACATGTGCACCGCCACCCGCCGCCCGCCGAGCCTCCTCCTCTTCGGCCTCCGCAATCTGCTCGAGCATCGGCGCCCGGCTCACCTGGCGCGGGCCAGCCTTCCTCTGGACGCGATCCTTGATCGACTGCATGGCTGCCTGGGGCATGGAGCGTGCGCCAAGCGCAGTGGAGCTAGGAGAGAATATCGGCGTGCGCTCTCAGGAGGATGCGGCTGACGCAAGCGCACCCGCACATACACGCACGCGCACACACAAGCACGCGCGCGAGCGTGCGCCACAAACACGTCCGACTTGCCAATCATACGCGGTGTGTGGTGCATGTGCCCGGCGGGTGCCTGGCGGTGGAGTCACGTTCTCGCGATTGCGCCCTTCTCGCAAACATCGATTGCGGCGCTCGTGTGCAAACGGCGACGTGCTAAGTGGCATCACGAGAAAGGCGAGCACCATGGCGGGATCATATCTCGGACGCTGCCGGCACAACATTGAGCAATTGCAACAATACCACCAACCCAAAAGGGACACTGCTCATTTGAGGAACGCGGTGGGAATCATGATATACTGGAGCACGTTGAGGTGGTAAACAAACTATCGATCCATCGCCACACTGCATATCAGAGTGCGGGGGACGAACGGTCATCCACTGACCCTTTGTGCGTGGCTGAAATTGGGTCCTGCGGTGCAGATTGTTGTTGCGTTGCTGTTGCTCGATGTTTCTTGTTGTTCTTGATGCCGTTGTCGTCGTCCCACTCACGACCTGGCCCGCGGACCACCCACGCCCTCCCGCGACCCAACCGCGACCCACCCGCGACCCACCCGCAACCCACCCTCGAGCCACCCGCGACCCACCCACGCTCTCCCGCGACGCACGTAAGACACATCTGGCACTCACCCAAAACACACCCGCGACCCATCCGCGACCCACTCTTGACTCACCCCGCGACCCATCCGCGACCCGCCCGAGACCCACCCGCGACCCACCCCGCGCCCGCCCCCTCACTCTTATCCGCAACTGCGGGGAGCAAATATCTACACACGCACAGAAATCGTAGATCTTATATCTGAACATCTATATAGGTATTCGATGCCTTCGTCTCATGTATCAACCCGCTCACGCGGCACTCATATGCACGACACGTCACTCGATACATAATCAATTGTTCTATTGCCACCAGCACGCGCGCACCGGCTATAGGGCAACAAACAGCCCCGCCGAGACGAGCACTACCAGAAGTAGCAACACTATGAGCAGCAGCAGCAGCACAAGCGCCACCAGCAGCAGCGACGAGCGCAAGCAACACAAGCGACACCATAAGTACCTCTTGGACAAGCATGAAAGCAAATCTAACCACCACGCGCATTAGAACCAATCACACTAGCACCACACGTATGAATGACGACGACGACGGACGGGAAGCAGCTGCACCAAGCGACGAACAAACGCTACCAACAACACTACTGTGAGTAAACTGGGTCGATTATGGCAAACGCGATCGCCCCTTAATCTCGAACTAACTCTTCCCGCGTATTCCATCGATTCTCCAATCTCCAAAACCTGGCCAACGAATCTCCCAAACAACTTCGGACCTTCAAAATATCCCGGAACATCTAAAAACAACATCGCGCCTTAAAGATCTTCCGGTGAATCTCTGGAATCTCGCGCCGTAAAATCTCCAAAGAAATCTCCGCTGGAGATTTTCTGGAAAATTGCTGGAGTTTTCTGCACGCTGCAGATTCTCCCGAGATATCCTTTAGATTTCTGCACGCCAGAGAGTTGAGAAACATTTTGATGGAGATATTCCATCGTTTTCCCCGGAGATTCGTAAAACCAAGACATGTTCTGGAGATTGACCCGAAATTTCTCGAGTTTGGAGATTTCCCCAAGATTAGGTGGATGCCAAAAGCAATTCGGAGGGCTCCTTAAAAAGATGTCCCGGAGATTCTTCATCCAGAGAGCCCTGGTCGCATTTGCAATATTTACGAAATCAGGCATTGTGGCCACAACGACACACAGCAGCAACAACAAACGCATCAGCATCAGCGCCATGAGCAGCAACATTTTCCATCGAAGAACCGGCCATCGCCGCATCGAGAATGGCACGCTCAATGAAAGTTGTCGCTGGCACCTGGGCGACAGCAATATCCTTCATCAGACATGCACAACCGATGCGGCCGCAGTGGCGCTGACCGGTAGGGACTTCCAAGCGCGTCTCGCATTCCGCGCTGGAGTGCGGTCACTCCAGTGCTGGTCGGTGCCTCGGGCGGTCGCAGCATCGTGGTGACGTCGGCAAGGTCTAGCAGTGATGATGGTGACGCTAGTGACGATGACGACGGCAGCGCCAATGAGGGTGCCGACTCTAGTCGCGCAAATGACGAAGACGATGTCCAAATAAGGATGACGAACATGTCGGTTAAACAAGGGCCGACCGTCCCGTCATTCCTATAGACCTACCGCGAGGTGTTCCAAGAACCGGAGAATACTCTAGGAACATAAACCATGCTCTGACCACAGAGCCGATGTGTTAAAGCAAGGCTAGATCAGCCAGAACTGTTCTCAGACGATTTCGCGTAAGCAAGAAAAAAGTTCTTGGACCATTCTGTGGTGGGCCGATCGGCAAACCAAGACGCTTCGCCAATGCTTGGGTTTGAAGGATCTCGGCATGCACGCGCGGCCGGCGCGCGCGATGGCCCGCATGGTAGTGTTCAACGGGGATCGCGCCCCGGCGGCCCCAACACTCGCGCAGGGGCGTTCGAATAGTTTCGGCATGCACGCGCTAGAGGCGCGCGTGGTCTCAATTGAAGAGAATCTGAGCTACCCGGCACCCCTGGGCCGCAGCGGCTGCGGCGGCGGGTCGCGGCGGCAGGGGAATCGGACGAAGAAGGACTCTGCTCCTGCTCCTCCTGCTACTCCTCCTACTCCTGCTCTTCCTCCTCCTGCTGCTGCTCCTCCTCCTCCTCGACGCGAAAGGTGCATCTCGTTCCCTGGCACGTTCAGCTGCGAGTGTCTGGGTACGAGAGCGTCTTGGTACGAGTGGGCTTGATGTGAGTTTGGCTGCGGGTGAGCCTGAGTGCGGTCAAGTCTGAGTGTGAGCGATTCTGAGTGTTAGCGAACCGATTTGTATGAGTCTGAATACGACTCAGCTTAGTGTAAGTGTATCTGAGCGCGAGTGGCCTAAATTGGACTGGCGTCAGTATGGGAGAGTCTGACTGTGAGTATGAGTGTGGCTTAGTCTGAGTATGAGTGACATGAGAGGGCACAAGCGGGATAACAGAGATCAGGCGGCAAAGAAACAGCTCCTTCCGTTTCCTTCTGCGGCCTCCTGTCCTACGCCGTCCTTCTTTCCTCTTCCTCCCTGGCGGCTATCCTCCCCCCCTGCGTTTTCATATCATCCTTCCTCCTACCTCTCCTCCTCCCTCCTGCCCCGTCCTACCTCCTCCTCCCTGGCAGGTGTCTCCCTTTCTGGCGGCTCTTTCCTGAGATGCCCACATGCTACAGGGCAATTGTTAATACATGGCATTTTCAATACATCTGATTTCCATATATGGTTAATGTATGAATAAATTTACGCATGAACTCATCATTGTTTTTAATACTCAATCCCGCATGTTTTATCCATGATCCGAACGCGGAGCATGTATTCAACAAAACGGCACTGTACGATTGCTTTTATCGCGGTGGCCACGAGGCTCTCCACGGAGAGAGGCCCGGGCCACCAGACAGGCAAACCTCCTGAGGCATCCCCCAAATTCAAGGGGCCCAAGGACACACAAATAAATACACACAAATGACAAGATCCCCAATATTGTCATATATTTTCTGGGCTTTCGTCTTCCCCCCACTTCCCATAGTTTCCCATATTTTCATGGAAATCGAATATTAATTGTGCCTCTGTGTTTCTTTCCCTCCTGGCAAAATCTGGCCGTGAAGGCAAGAATGAACTGCCCCATGGCAGCTTCCCCTGGGGTGCTGAGACCAGCGCCTCGTTCGAGACATATTCACAACTTGGTTCGAAGGCAGAGGACGCAGTGCACCCAAGCACGCAAGCCGCTCGAGACATCCAAACTATCTGAGCTCGAACGGGCCCGTGAGAATACCCTGGCTGCTCCCCCCTTGGCACTGGCGGAACCGGAAGGTCGCTTGAGGCATCCTGACAGTCTGCTCTGCAAGCCGAGGGTGGTGGACACCCAGAGAGGCAGACCGCCCGAGACGTCATCAAAAACTCCGGTCGTGAACGGAAGAGTGCGCTGCTCCACGACGGCTCCCCCCTGGGGTGCTGACACCGGCGCCTCGCCCGAGACAGAGGACAAAAGGCAGAGCAACGCTGTGGCTTGCCACCGGCGCCTCGCTCGAGGTGGCTCACGAGTTGGCCCGAGACCTAGGGCTCCCAACTTCGCGCTTCGCGCTGCGCGAAGCGCGAAGCGCGAATAACTTCGCGCTCTCGCGCCGCTCTCCCAAAGGGAGAATAGGAGGACGAGGAGGAGGGGGAGAAAGAACGAGGACCGCGAAGCGCGAAGCGCGAATAACTTCGCGCCCTCGGGGGAGCCCTTGCCCCTGGGGTGCTGACACCGGCGCCTCGCCCGAGACAGAGGACAAAAGGCAGAGCAACGCTGTGGCTTGCCACCGGCGCGTTTCGCTCGAGGTGGCTCACGAGTTGGCCCGAGACTGCGAGCACGCTGGGCCCCCGCGCGCGCAGAACGCTCGAGAGACACCCAGGCAGTCCAGGCGCGAACGGGCCCGCGAGAGCGCATCCTGGCCGCTCCCCCCCCTTGGCACGGCTGAGATCACCAGCCTCGAGCTGCTCCCTCCTCCTCCTCCTCCTCCTCCTCCTCCTCCTTCCTCCTCCTTCCTCCTCCTTCCTCCTTCCTCCTCCTTCCTCCTCCTTCCTCCTCCTTCCTCCTCCTTCCTCCTCCTTCCAGCCTGAGATCACGGCACGGTCCCCAGGATGGGCGGGCAGAAGGCGAGGCCAGTCTTGGGGATGGGCCCTCCGAAACCGAGGGGGACCCTTGAGATCGGCATCGAGGTGAGGCGATGCCCAACACAGGGATAGGGATATGTTGCAAACCGGCACTGGAACGAGAAGAACGCCCGAGGCATCCTGGCAATCTGCTCTGCAAGCAGAGGGCGTTGGGCACCCAAACAAGCAAACCGCCTGAGACATTACCAAACTCTGGGCGCAAACGGGACCGTGAGAACACTCTGACGGCTCCCCCTTGGGGGTGCCGAAACCAGCGCCTCGCCTGCGACATCCTTGCGCTCTGCTCTGAAAGCAGAGGGTGCGGGGCACCCAAGCACGCAAACCGCCTCAGACGTCCCCACACTGTGTGCGCGAACGGGCAAATGTCCGACCTCCTGGCGGTTCCCCTTTGGGAGAGCTGGAACCAGCGCCTTGCTTGAGACATCCTCTCAATCTGCTCCGAGATCTAAGGATGATGGGCACCCAAACAGGCAAACTGCCTGAACATGCCGCCCACCATCTGGGCGCGAACGGGCGGAGTGTCCTACACCCTGGCGGCTCCGCTTTGGGAGAGCTGAAGCCAGCGCCTCGCCTGAGACATTCTCACACTCGGTTTGTAGCACACATGATGCTGGGCACCCAAACTTGCAAACCGCCTGAAACGTCGCCAACATCAGGGCGAGAACGGGCGAGTGTCCTATATCGGCTCCCCCGCAAGATTGCAACCGCCGCCTCGCCTGAGCCATCCTCACAGTCTGCCCCGAAAGCAGTGGATGCTGGGCTCCCAAGCAGGCACAGCGCCTGGACATCCCCACGATCAGGGCGGGAACGGTCAGTGTCACAATTACCCCCTGGCGGTTCCCACTTGGGAGTGCTGAGCCAAGCGCCTCGCCTGAGACGACATCCTCACAATCTGTTCCGACATCAACAGATGTTGGGCACCCAAACGGAGAAACCGCCTGAGCATCCCCACAGTCTGGGCACGAGCGGGCGAGTGCCCTACCCCCTGGCGGCTCCCCTTAGGGAGTGCTAAAACCAGCGCCTCGCCTTAAACATTCCTCGCAATCTGCTCACCAGTGATTCTGCGTACGAGTGAGTCTGAACAGAAGTGAGTCTCAGTGTGAATGGGTTCAACTGTGAGCGAGTTTGATTATTAGTGAATCTGAATAAGAAGGAGTCTAATTACGAGCGAGTCTGAGTGTGAGGGAGTCTGAGGTTGAGTGGGACTGGGTACAAGGAAGAGGAGGATGGTGTGAGGTGTGAGGAAGCCAGGAGACGTCTGAGTAACTCCAAGAAGCCCATCATGGATATGAGAAGATATGGTAATGTCGTGCGACGTCGCAAGAGCGCGCACAGTATTTTTGGAGCATGATAACCGCTTACATGTTTACGAGATCCTCTGTCTTGAAATCCGCACGAAACCTACGGTTGCGGAAGGATTGCGACTTGCGCGCGCGACGAAATCCGCGTGTGAACTTTGTCTCAGTTTTCGAAGGCGCGAGTAAAAATGCATGGGTTGAAAAACATGTGCGCGCGCATGGTAGCAACTGACAGTGATAAACGGGGACGATACGGATAATAGAAGGGATGGTATGAAGTCATATGCAAGATGAGCGATGAGGCAACATCACGTGGAATTTGCAATGTCCCAATGGGGGGTGTCCCGCCTCGGAAGGGTGGTAGAGTCTAGTCTCTTGTTCGAAAAGAGAATTCGTGGTTCAATATAGGGGATGTAATCCATGGGTCGCATTGCAAAGCAATGCCAAGCAATTCTGAAAACAGTGCAAAGCAGTGCAAAGACATGCAGAGCCATGCAGGGCCATGCCGAGCCATGCAGAGGTATGCCGAGACGTGCAGAGGCATGCAGAGCCACTGTGCAGAACCGTACAAAACAGCGCAAAACAATGCAAAACCATGCAGCGACACGCAGTGCAACACAGAGCACACAACAGTGAAGCACAGCGCGGCGACGGGCGGCGACGTGCCGGCGGGACCGCCACCACGGGCGGCGGCAGCCGGGACGCGACGGCGACTGCGTCGACGGGCGGGGACGGGCCGCGACGAGCCCGCCAGACGGCCACCGAGGCCGAGTTACCTTACAGACTGCCACCGAGGCCGAGGTACCTCAGAACACGAGTGGTACCCCCAAACTGCACGCACTGCTTGGGAGATGCATGGGTAATGTGGATTGCGGAGGGGCAGTGTGTGCGAGAGAGAGAGAGAGAGCGCGCGCATACTTGCTCTGTTCGGCGGCGAGGCAGGGGTCGTTTGCGCAAGCGGAAGGGCATTAAAGGGGGTGCCGTTCAAGCGAATTGCGCCACCGTGCAGGAGGGGGGAGAGCGCACATACCCACAAGTTATGGGTTATAGGGAAGATCATGTAGCGTTCAGTTGCGTGCGGAGGGAAGGAGTAGAACAGACCACGGCGACTTGGAGACTCGACACTCTGAACTCTGAACTCGGTTATCGCCATGTCACAGCCATATGTGCAACATGCATGGATGGGGCATGCACCTGGTGTCGTGCCCCTAATGAGCCCACGATTGCTATTCTACGCGTGCCGTTCGCCCAGGCGCCGAGCAAACCAACCCACCCCGATACCATCACTTCTCATGAATAATGCTGCCATCCGATTGCCCTGACAATCCAACCAGCCAGTTGCATTACCAGTTCTCGCTCGCTGGTGCATGTAATGTCCCAGGGAACACGCTAACAACGATCACGTAGCTATCACGCGCGCGACCTCTAACATCGAAACGCCCAATACGACAGCTTCCCTCGCCTCCAACCTCGTGATCGACCACAGGATGGTTGCTCTGGCGAAGCAAACTCGTCGTCTGTCCTGGCGCGCATGCCGACAACCCGCCGACTTAAGCGAAATCTGCCTCACGTGTTTGTTGTGTTTGGGTGGGGGGTAGGTTACATACCAGATATTCTGCTTGAGTGATCACCTGCAACCAGGCCCTGCCACAGAGAATATTGAACAAAGGGGCGGAGTCCTGATCGGCCCCAGTTATGATTAGATCTTTCGAGTTCGAGGAAATCCAGAAGATTCGAAGGAGGCTGATGGAAGCCCAGGCTCCTTCCAACATCACACATGTACGTATTCGATACAGCTTCGCCTTCCGAACTCCAGGCCGACATCCTGCCCATGGCTCCACAGGCCTGGACCTTCCTGTGGGTGTCCTCCTCGATCTGCCGCAGCCTGGCATCCCAAACGACCAGCTCCTGGGAGCGGGGGGAAGAACTGCCACGGGGAGGAATTGCCCAGCAGGAGAGGGGAGCAGAGGACGGGGGGACGATCGGACGATGGAAACACCACACCATCAAGATCATCGTCGAGGAGCAGAGGAGCATCATCGTGGTGGTTTGGCGTCGCTGCCTTTCTGCATACTGGTAGATGTATGCCCAACGTGCCAAAGCTGTTTTTTTTTTGGGGGGGGGGGCGCTGTGTACTTGATCGCCAGGGTTGGCCTTGCTCGTGGTGCTCTCGTGACGAGAAGGGAGCGATCGAGACGGGGAGAGAAAGCGAAAGTCAGAGAGGTGCGGACAGAGACAGAGCGATAAAAGAGAGGGAGATAAAACAAACATGCATACATGAAGAGAGAGAGAGAGAGACAATAAGAAGAGAAAGAGAGGGAAAGAAAGAGAGAGAGAGAGAGAGAGAGAAAGACCTTGATTGGATGGATGGGGGACACAACATGCACATGAAGCATTGCGTGCATCTGCTGATGCCCTCGTAGCACGGACATCGACAGTGCAGAGCCAAGAGGGCTCGAGGCGGGGGGCAGAGAATATCAGGGCAACCTCCCCGAACCGACCTCGACCCCACACCTGGGTCCGACCGCACAAAAAAGGGGAGGCGGTGCGGGCTTGACCGGGGCGTGGCCCTTGCACAAAAAAGCCGGGGAGGCTCTTGGACGACAGGGGCACTCCCTGGAACGGCCCAGACGCCTTGAAGAAGAAGAAGAAGAAGGATAATGGGCATCCTCGAAGGGGCCATCCTGGAAGGGGCCATCCTGGAAGGGGCCACCCTGGACAGGCCCGGGTGCCCCGAAGAAGGTCCCTCAGAAGCCTGCTCCCAAACCAGGCGTCGCTGCCTTCTTAGAAGACCCCCGTCTTACGAGAACGTCCCCTCTCGCGCTCGCTAACATCCCCCCCCTCCCTCCCCTTGTACGCCTCCTCCTCCTCTTCCTCCTCCTCCTCGTCCTCCTTCCCATCGTCCTCCTCCTACTCCTCCTCTTTTTTCGCTTTTCCTTCTCCTCCTTTTCCTACTCCTCCTACTCCTCCTCCTCCTCCTTACAATCCGCCTTCCGCCAGGACACGACCCCCAGGACAACCCCTGAAGAGTCAGAGAGGAGGAGGTCGAGTCGAGGAGGCGCCGGAGGCTCGGTCGCGCCCGCGGGAGTCCCAGCGCCGTCCCTGACCGGACGGACGCCCAGGTCAGACACCGGAGGGACCCTGAGATCCGACGCCGCGCAAAGATGGCAACATCGCAGACAACAGGTCACGGCAGGAGCCCGGGACCTTAATATCCTGCCTCATTTTTCCCGAGCCGGATGGATCTGCGAGGGTCCCGCGAGGCCCAGAACGGGACGGCAAACGCCCGCGTTGTGGGAAATATATTGCCACGCCAGGATCTCAAGGGAGGCCGTGTGCCTAATTCGCGAAATCGGGGCACGTCGTGCGGAAGCTGGGCGAGGGCTGGCAAAGCCGTGGCTGCTACAACGGGTCTCCCCGGGAGAAAAAAACTCAACTTCCCCGGAATGAAACTCCGCGCGCTACGTAGTAAACGGGCTGCTTCCCGGGAGGAAAAAAAAACAATTTCCCGGAGCCCCGTTTTACAGTCAACCCGCATCAGAAGGACGTACGATAAGGATGCTAGGGTCTTGGGAGGCATGTCGACAGGTTGCGAAGGGGGCGCGGCCAGCGAAAGCGGCCAAGGATGAACCAGGGAGGCAAGGATGCAAGGGTACCCCTGGGAAGGCTGCCCATCCTTTCTATGCGGGTTGACTGTATCAGCCATGGGTTTGCCAGCCTTCGCCTGGCCTTCTTACCAGCCTGGAACATATCCCTACCCCTATGTTCGGCATCGCCCCATCACGACGGCGATCTTGGGGATGCACCCTCAGTTTCTGAGGGTGCAGCCCTGAGATTGTCATCGCCTCTTGGCGTGTCAATCTCAGGGATACAGGGCAGTGTTCACTACACAGGATTTTTAAGAATATAGGATTTTAATACATGGTTAATATATGAGTAAATGTATGCATGAATTCATCGTTGTTTTTAATACTACATCCCTGCATGTTTCATACATGATCCGCATGCGGAGCATGCATTCAAAACGGCGCTGTAGGGATAAGTTCGAGGCCGGTGACCGTCTGAGTCGTGCAGAGGACATCGCCCTCGGGCCGCCCAGCGCGACGCGGGCGCGCCGGCAAAGCTTCCGCTGTGCCGGGGAACCGCCGCGGCGAGGGCGCGGGGGCGGCGCGCGCCGAGCCGGGGCAGGCAGACTACTGGCTCGCGCGCGGGGGCGCGCGGGGGAGGAGGCAGGAGAGATGAGGCAGGAGGGAGGAGGCAGGAGGAAGGAGGCAGGCGGGAGGAGGCAGGCGGGAGAAGGGAGGAGGCAGGCGGGAGAAGGGAGGAGGAGGAGGAGGAGGAGGAGGAGGAGGAGGAGGAGGAGGAGGAGAGGAGGAGGAGAGGAGGAGGAGGAGGAGGAGGAGGAGGAGGAGGAGGAGGAGGAGGAGGAGGAGGAGGGAGGGAGGGAGGGAGGGAGGGAGGAGGGAGGTGGGAGGAGGGAGGAGAGAGGAGGAGGGAGGGGGGAGGAGGGATGGGGTAGGAGGGAGGAGCAGGCGGTGGAGCACGGTCCAGCAACGCGCTCGGGAAAGAGATCTTGCCAGGAAGCGGGACCCCACAGGGCCCAACCACAGGAGGCTCCAGAGGCTCATCGAGAAGGCCCTCGCCAACATTGAGTGGGAGTTTGACCTCACCACAGATCAGCCGTGGGAGCCCTGGGACAGTTTGCAGGAGCGGTCCAGCCAGCCTTTCCCGCTTCACGACCTGCTAGAGAGGCAGGTACAATATTTCGAGGCCCGCGCCCTGAAGCAGGCCCAAGACGGTTTCGCAGACTGGTCGGAGACCAGCATCAAGCGCGGCGGCGGCGCCGCCCACGCCTCCACCAGAGAGATGGAGGTCGAGCTTACTCCCGAGGAGGCCGATCACTTTGTCTTGGATGAGGAGGTCCTTATGGACCCAAGTGGCATCCTGGGGGCCAAAAGCAGCTTCTGGAAACAATACTTGGACCCTGAGAAGATACAGGCCACGACCCCATCTCAGCACCATGGATCCAGGATCAACGGGAGGAGGCGATGGAGGATAAGTCCCTGCAGGTCCCCTGGACGGAGGAGGAGGTTTTGAAGGCGGCCAAAACTTTCCCAGGGCATTCAGCCACGGGCATGGACCATTGGCGAGCTCGCGATTGTGCTCGACTTCCAGCACCAGGGCTCACGGAGCTCACCAGTATGCTAAACTCCATCGAGATTAAGCAAGCGATGCCCGCCCAGTGCCTAGGCAACCTTGTGGCGCTTAAGCCGAAGACCGTGACGGCGGACAGGCCGATAACGCTCACCACTTCTCTCTACAGGCTGCTCATGAAGATGAGGAGGGGGGAGATCGGCAAGTGGGAGGCGGCCAAGGCAGGACACTGGGACGCGGCAATCAAAGGCACGAGTTGTCTCTGAGCAGGTTTAATATCCGAGCTCTTTGCAGAGGTGGGAGCTGAGCTCAATATTAAGATAGTAGAAGGGCTCTTGGATCTTGACAAATTCTATGACACCATCCTCACCCACATTTTAGCCAGGAAAGCAAATGATATGGGATATCAAAATATATGTTTGAATCTCGGGATCATGACCCACTTAGCTGTACGGTACCACAGAGATAAGGGTTAGTGAACCGGGTGTAGTATTCTAGCTGGGTGCGGTCAGAGCGTGGCCTGGGCACGAGTTCTTTTGCACGACCTCCTCCATCAGGCGCACCTCAGGTTCGATCGTCTCACCCTTCGGACATGGGATGACGACTTGCGCGCCCGCATGGTTGGCTCGTTCGATTCCCTGCTCAAGTCCTTCCCCGAGGCCATGAAGTATCTCAAAGCTGGGTTAGTAGATCTTGGGTGCAGGTTATCCCCCAAGTCGGCCCTCTTGTCGAATGACAAAGACATCAGGAACCAGGTCCAGGACTCCTGCAAGCTCCACGGGACCCCCCTGAAGACCAAGTTGGGCACCGGGGACTTAGGCTTGGACTCCACCGTGGGCAAGCGTAGGTTCCTCAAAGTCCGCAAGGCTCGGCAGCGTCTGGGGGCTCAAGAGGCATAATAATATCAAGAGGCTCCTGAAGGTGAACGAGGGTGCTCATCGGTTGTATCGTGCAGGGGCCCAGCCACAGCTTCACTGGGGTCTCGAGGGCCATAGGGTCTCCCCTACTGGACTTCGCCAACACAGGAGGACAGCAGGAGCCGCATTGGGGACAAGTAAACCAGGTAGTTGTCTCACTGCGGGGCTCCACCAGTCGAAGTTGCCGCCAGAGGCCCTGAACCCCGTCATCTTCCACCGCGTCAATATTTTCGAGATGTGGTTCGAGCTGGTCGCGATGGAGCCGCACCTCAGAAATGGCATCGCGGCAGCTTGGCCGAAGGTAGTTTCAAAGCTCCAGCGACCCAGACGATGGAACGAGCCGGATCCAGCTTGGGCTTGGACGAGCCCCACCAGCGAAGATTTTCAAGTCAGGCCCGATAACGTCCACGAGCAGGATTATTTCATGTGCAGATTCTAACAGTGTCTCCAGCACAGGGTATGGAGTGGGGCACAAGGGGGCCATGCAGCAGGAGGAGTGCAGGATGGAGTTGACATTAAGAGTTCACGTTGGCAGATCGAGGGATTGTACGGCGATGAGCAGAAGAACCTCGCGAAGGCGCTCAAGGCAGTTTGTGTGTGCTCAGCCTGGAGTCCCAGGCGCCGCTTCGAGGCAGGCTTAGGCGACGACTCGGTCTGCCCGTTGTGCGGGGAGCGCCACTGCGACGACTTTCACAAGTTCTGGGGATGCCCTCTACTCTTCCAGGCCGAATATCCTCTCATCCAGGCTACCGATGGTCTCGTGGAGACCGCGCAAGGGGACGACCAGCCAGCATGTCTATGGCTCCGAGGGCTCATTCCAGCAGGCCTCGCTCCGAAGGCAGCAGAAGACACCACCCCCAAGCACCCCGCCCTAGTTGGGACTGGCGCCTTCCTGAATCCTCCAGAGCCGAGGGGCGGTTGGCGCCTCGGCTCCGTGGATGGTTCAGGGGGCGCTTTCTTGTCCGATCCCCGCCGCAGGCGAGTAGGATGGGGTGCAGGGGTTTGGGTCGAAGATTTAAATCCCCTCGGCACTCTCCAAGGGAATGTCGTGGGGCTCCAGACAATCAATCGAGCGGAGCTCAAAGGGGACATAGAGCTCCTCAGGCACACACAGGGGGACCTCATCGTGGTCACTGACTCCGCCTACCTGATCCGTGGGCACCACAGGGGTCCCCGTAGGAGAGCTCGCTCCAATCGTAGGCTCTGGCTCGAGTACTGGCGTTTTCTAGGGGCTCAAGTGGACCAAGTTAGGTACCTCAAGGTGACAAGCCATGCCACGGACCCACAGGTCCGAGCCCGTTTTCCCGCCTGGGCCTTGTTCGTTAATAATAAGGCTGACGAATAAGGCTGTCGCCACCGCCGCCGTGCCCTAGGAGCTGGTCGATCGAGTGCTTGCAATGGACACGTTCGTCGAGCAGATCCGTGGGCGGTTGGCCGCAGTCCAGATGTTATGGTGGATCCACTTTCCAGTAGAGGAGGCTCCTGCTGGAACCTTAAGAGAGCTCAGCGGAAGGAGCGCAGCGATCAACCTTTCCGGCATCTTTTAGAGGTGACCTCCCATTGGCCCGAGGTCCGCGAGGACCAAGCTTCATGCGCCAGGTGCGGGAAGCAGACCCACTGGAGGTGCTGCGCCCGTTGGCTCCGCTCTCCCTGCACAGGCACGGGAGCAGCGAGTTCGTCTCAAGGCGCTGGGCGGGAGGCCGCTCGTGCCGATGCTGGAGGCCCCCCCGTCCACTAGGGCTCCCAACTTCGCGCTTCGCGCTGCGCGAAGCGCGAATAACTTCGCGCTCTCGCGCCGCCCTCCCAAAGGGAGACTAGGAGGACGAGGAGGAGGGGGAGAAGGAACGAGGACCGCGAAGCGCGAAGCGCGAATAACTTCGCGCCCTCGAGGGAGCCCTTAGTCCACCCCAGCCACCGACCCCACCTTTCTGTGTGCCGTGGGGTCTTGTGGTGTCGGAGGTGTGGGTGCTGGCGGACCAGGGCCTCCAGGAAATTCAAAGAGCAGCGCACCCCACCTCGCAACAGTCAAAGTGGGGGGCACGAGGCCTTTCTGAAGCTCACCAAGGAGCAGCTCCCCCCAGGCCTTAAAGAGTGACCCAGAGGGAGCTCGTGAGCCCCAGTAGTCCCCCTAGCGTGTAGGGATCGAGACTGTTCGAGGGGGCGCGCGCGCGGGAGGAGGGAGGAGGGAGGAGGGAGGAGGGAGGAGGGAGGAGGGACGAGGAGGAGGAGGAGAAGAAGAAGGATGTGAAGGAGGAAGAGAGGAAGGTACGACGTATAGAGAAGCTGGGAAGAAGCGGAAGTTGGAAGCCCAGTGGAAGTGGAAGTGGCCAGGGTGGGAACAACTGGCAGGGAGTAGAAAAAGACGCAGGGCAGTTGGAACGAAGTGGCCAGGGTGGGAAAAACTAGCGGGGGGTAAAACAAACGACGCAGAGCAGTTGGAATAAGGCCGCAGGGGCTGGACAAATCAGAAGGAAGCTGGCCAGGGCTGGAAAAGAGCAGCAGGACTGGCCCCAGCCACTCTTCCCAGCTTCCCTGCATGCATGCACGAGGAGGAGGAGGAGGAGGAGGAGGAGGAGGAGGAGGAGGAGGAGGAGGAGGAGGAGGAGGAGGAGGAGGACAACGGGGGAGGAAGCAGGCACGGCTCACGTGCCTGATTAATTGGCGTGCAACTTCCGCAGCCCCAGGAGATCCCCGGGTCCGGAGACCGGCCCGTGTGAGACGCAGACATCGACTGGGTCGAGCTCGTCTGGGCCCACCGGCCGAGTCCTGAACCAGGGGACCTCCTGGTTTAGGAGGCAACTGGTGGGGAGGTCCTGATTGCAGGGCTCGAGTTAAATAGTGTTTTCCGTTTTCGTTTTGTTTTCGTCATCCTTAGTTCTGTCTTCGCTCCACATTTGCTGCAAAACGAAGTCAAAGCGAAAACGGTCCACGAAATTGCCAAAACACCGCTTAGCTCGAGCCCTGCCTGACTGAGACGACCAAGGGCTACTGACCCCGATGAAGGGACTATCAGGCCAGACTGGGCTCGAAAAGCCGCCAGATGGGGCCCGAATAAGACCGGACCCGGCTGGACGCGGCAGAGTCAGACGAGAGGCAATGCTACCAGCGCGGAAGCTGGGCTCTGAGTCACCCATGGCTTCGCGCACCGCGCCCCGCGACGCACGATCGCGGGGTCATCTTCGCGCCGCCGCGCCCGGCTCCCGAAGGAGGCCGCCTCTCCAGCACCACCCGCCATGCGCCAGGCGCGGCCAGTTTTTTCGCGCTTCTGCGGGTGACCCTATATGATTCGTCCCCCCGAGGAGCTGCAGCCTGCCCCGATGCATCGGGAGCCGCAGGAGCTGCAGCCTGCCCAATGATTCCCCCCCCTCGAGGAGCTGCATCCTGCCCTGATGGATCTGGTGCTGGGGGCCTGGAAAGGGGCACCAACGCCAGCACACGAGGTCGGGGATCTTCTGACCCGGGTCAATCCAGACCCGGGTCAGAGGGAACCCAAAAACTGCAATGCAGGAAAAAAAAATCCAGGCGAAGGACCCAACCATATGCAGTTGTGAGTACCGCAATTGTGAATATCTTTTTCGGTGGCGAGCCCTATGGGGCCACGAAACGTGTGAGGGGTGTGCCGATTTGGGTATGGCTGACGCATGCGGGCGGCGGCACTGGGGCCTTCGGTGGAGCTCACTATGGGGCCACGAAGCGCATGAGGGGTGTGCCGGAATGGGTTTGCGGGTCGCATGCGGGCGGCGGCACTGGGGCCTTCGGTGGAGCTCCCTACGGGAGCCACGAAACGTGTGAGGGGTGTGCCGAATTGGGTGTGGCTGACGCATGCGGGCGGCGGGCACAGGGGCCTTCGGTGGAGCTCCCTATGGGGCCACGAAACGTGTGAGGGGTGTGCCGAATTGGGTGTGGCTGACGCATGCGGGCGGCGGCACTGGGGCCTTCGGTGGAGCTCCCTATGGGGCCACGAAACGTGTGAGGGGTGTGCCGAATTGGGTGCGGTGACGCATGCGGGCGGCGGCACTGGGGCCTTCGGTGGAGCTCCCTATGGGGCCACGAAACGTGTGAGGGGTGTGCCGAATTGGGTGTGGCTGACGCATGCGGGCGGCGGCACTGGGGCCTTCGGTGGAGCTCCCTATGGGGCCACGAAGCGTGTGAGGGGTGTGCCGAATGTGGGTGACGCATGCGGGCGGCAGCACTGGGGCCTTCGGCGGAGCTCTACTATGGGGCCACGAAACGTGTGAGGGGTGTGCCGAATTGTGTGTGGGTGACGCATGCAGGCGGCAGCACTGGGGCCTTCGGCGGAGCACTGGGCCACGAAACCTGTGCCGGTGGAATGGGAGCCACGAAACGTGTGAGGGGTGTGCCGAAATGGGTGTGGGTGACGCATGCGGGCGCGGGCACTGGGGCCTTCGGTGGAGCTCCCTATGGAGCCACGAAACGTGTGAGGGGTGTGCCGAAATGGGTGTGGGTGACGCATGCGGGCGCGGGCACTGGGGCCTTCGGTGGAGCTCCCTATGGAGCCACGAAACGTGTGAGGGGTGTGCCGAAATGGGTGTGGGTGACGCATGCGGGCGCGGGCACTGGGGCCTTCGGTGGAGCTCCCTATGGAGCCACGAAACGGTGTACTGGGTGGGTGAAGAGGAGAGGAGGAGAGGAGGGGAGGAGAGGAGGAGAGGAGAGGAGAGGAGAGGAGAGGAGAGGAGAGGAGAGGAGAGGAGAGGAGAGGAGAGGAACGCGGGGCACCGTCTCTTCAAAACGAGGACCCAACACCACAGGATGGTTGGGAAAAAGCTGCAACGCAGGTCTTCGCAAACCTGGGTCAGCCAATACGCGCGGCCGCCTCGCGGCCACGAGCGGCTCGCTCACCCGGGTCAGCCAGAGGGGGTCGTCGCAGGATCCTGCAGGATCTGGTGCCCGGGCTGACCCCCGTTTGCACTGACCCCCCGTCTCGAGGCTCCCGACGAGGGGCCGCCCCCGCTCCACCGGGGGAGGAGGGTCCCGGATGCTGGTGCCGGTGGCAATCCCTCGGCCGCCTGCGGATCGGCGGCCAGCCGGGGGAGGAGCGGTGAGAAGGAGACGGCACTCTCGGAAGGCTCGGAGGTCCCCCGGCCTGCCGAGAAGCCTTCTACGCCCTCCCCGAAGAGAGGGAAACCTTCTCAGAAGGCGCGATGGCTTCTGAGAAGTCCCGCCGCCTTCTGAGAAGGCCTCCTCCTTCTCACTCCCCGCCCTCGCCCGCCCTCGCTCGCCGCCGAGAGAAGCCCCAGCGCTACCACCGCCACCGAGATCGGGATCAGTTTCCCTCGCTGGAGGCGCTCGCCGATACTGGTGCTGGTGCCATCCTCTGGGCCTCAGATGGTGGGAGCTCACACCCTCGCGATCAGTCAGCGAAGGTCGCCGACCTGCGAGAAGCCGTCCACGCGCACGCACGCCCTGCTGTCATTCGCGCCTGGCTCGTCGGCGAAGCCGCGCAGGTTCAGGGGAGCCCGCTGCCCGGTGAACTCGGAGGCGAAGTTCGCGTGGGCGTCCTCTGTTTCTGGCTGCTCCCTCCCAGCAAACTGGCACATGGCATTCGAGTGTCCTCCTCCTCCTCCTCCTCCTCCTCCTCCTCCTCCTCCTCCTCCTCACCCTCTTCCTCCTCCTCCTTCCCCTCCCCTAATTAGCAGGCGCAGCTGCCGTCGACGCGGCGCGCCTCTAGTGTGAACAGTTTGGCAGCTCACGGTTTCAGCTTGCTTGCGCGCCGTCTGGAGGCAAGGCGTGTCTGAACTGAGCAGCAGTGCCCCTCCCCCCAAGGCGGTGGCATGACGAGGGTCGCTTCCGGTGTGATGTGAGGGCTACCGATGGGGGGGGGGGGCTGGCTCGGCGGAGGGGCCATTGACTTGGCCGCTGCATCGGCGATACATCGCCGATGAATCGGCGACGAACCCCTCGACAGTGAAACGGCAAACTCCCGGGCGAGGGGGAAAAGGGAACCCAAGCCCCGATGGGCGATGACCTGGAGACTGGGGATCGGCGCCTCCTCCCATGCGCTACGGCCCGTCCGCCGTTGCCCCTGCGGGCGCGGTCAAGTCGGGAATCTCTTGATTTTTTTGTGGTTTGCGGGTCGAGAGCTAACCTCTTCCGGTTAAGAGCTACGCGGGCCGCGCAAAGCACTATGGGGAGACAGGGCGCAGGAACCTCTTGAAACAAACAATTCCGGAATGCATGGCGTGTATACGAGCGCCGCTTCCCAGTCCTGACGAACGACGCTGCAGCAAAGAAGCGGCCGGGTCGGTACGCCAAAGACGAGCCTCTCCGTGCGTCGAGGGCGGGGCAGAAACACGAGGAATCACCCCCATCCCTGTGCGCGCACCCTGGCAGTCTCCCCGCCCCAGTCACATCCCACCGCCCCATGCCGCGCGTCGCGTGCAAAAATCATCGCCCCACCCACGACTAAAACCCTCGCCCGCCCCCAGGACATGTTGGGTCTACTATCATTATGTCGGGCGTGTCCCCCTACAAGGGGATTTTCGACGAAAAAGGAAACATGCCCCAAAAAGGTCAAACAATACTCCAAAAATGGTCCCCGGACCATTCTTGGACTATTTTTGACTATCTTTGGATTATTTTTATTTTCGCCGAACCCCCCTTTGTAAGGGGACACGCTCGACTTAATACTATCAAGGCGCAGGGGCCGAACGCTCCTTCGTCTCGTCCTTGGCTGCATGGCCGAGGTGGGGTTTTCCGTGGCCCGGATGACTGCTGCTGCTGCTCGTTGCCGTCGTCGTCCTCGTCGCCTTCGACCATCCCGCGCCCCGCCCGCGCCCCACCCCGCGACCCACCCCTAGGGGGCCACATGCGAAACCTACCCCTACCCCCCACGACTTCTGAGGCGGAGGGTGGGATTCACTTCGTCCGGGAGTTCCCGAGCGAGGTGAACACCACGCTCCCCCTTCAGAAATCGTGGAAGGTATGGGGTAGGGCTCACATGTGGCCCCCTAGCCCCGCGACCCACCCCGCGACCCGCCCCCTCATTCCGATCCACGACTGCGGGGTGCCGCACAGACACCTGCAGGGAGCAGGCGCTGGACCGCCCGACGCCATGCCTTTTTGTGTCACCGCGTCGACACCCAGAGATCTCGAACCACAGGGCACGGCGCTGGCGAGTCTGGAGCCATGGGGAGTCTGGATGCCCAGCCGTTGCCCTTGTGGGCGCGGCCAAGTCGGGAACCTCTTGAAATATGTTTTGTCTGCGGGTCGAAAGCGAGCCTCTTCCGGTTAAAAGCTCGGCCGGCTACGCAAACCTCTAATTGGGGAGACAGAGCACTGGCGGGCGGGGCCTCAAGCGGCCGGAGGGCGGGCCGGGGTGCAGGCGGCGTCGAGGAGCTTGCACAGGAAAATGAACGCCTTGGACAGGAGCCGGAGGCCAAGACCCGGAGGGAATCTCTTGAAACAAGCGATTCCGGAATGCACGGCCTGTGTACGAGCGCCGCTTCCCAGTCCCGACGAACGACGCTGCAGCAAGGAAGCGGCCGGGTCGGTCCGCCAAAGACGAGCCTCTCAGTGCGGCGAAGGCGGGGCAGGACCACGAGGAAACACCCGCATCCCTGCGCGCGCACCTCGGCAGTCTCCCCGCCCCAGTCAAATCCCACCGCCCCAGGCCACTTTTCGTTAGCAGCCGAAGGCGGGCGCGCCAACGGCGAGTAAGGTCCGAGCGGGCCGCGCGGGGGCTTACGCCCCAGACCACGCATAGCGTGCAAAAACCACGCCGCAGGGGAGGAATCTTGCGCACCAGACCCACGACCAAGACCCTCGCCAACCCCCAGAACATGCTGGGTCTACAAATCAGGGCGCAGGGGCCGAACGCTCCTTCCTCGCCCCCGGGGTGCGTGGCCGAAGTGGGGTTCTCCATGGCCCGGATGACTGTTGCTGCTGTTTGTTGCCGTCGTCGTCCTCGTCGCCTTCGACCACCCCGCGCCCCGCCCGCGACCCACACCTTGAGCAGGGACCGACCGTCCCGGCATTCCCATAGTCCTACCACGACATGTTCTTAGAACCCAAAAATGTTCGAAGAACAAGAGCAAGGTTCTTAGAACATAAACCCGATGCGATAAAACAAAACAAACTCCGCCAGAAATGTTCTAAGAACATTTCGCTGGAACCACAAAAGTTTCTTAGAACATTGATTGGTAGGGCTAAAGCGAACCAGGACGCTTCGCCACTGCTTGAACCCCGCGACGCGCCCCCTCACTCCGATCCACGACTGCGGGGGGTGCCGCACAGAAACCTGCCGGGAGCAGGCGCTGGATCCCCGACGCCATGACTTTCTGTCATCACGTCAACCCCCAGAGATCTCGAACAACAGGGCACGGCGCTGGCGAGTCTAAAGCGATGGGGAGTCTTGATGCCCAGCCCCCCGACGTCATGCATTGTTCATCACGTCCACCCCCGGGGAGGTCTCGGCCCCCTCTCCCCAGGAATGGTGCTGCTTCCCGAGTCGAGGTTTCACGGTCCCGCGGCCCGGCGAGGGCCCCTGGAGGCCGAAAACAGCGAAACACCTTCCGCCGCGACTTTTTCACACCGCGAGGGGTGTCTGGGGAGGTGCCATCTAACACACTCCTCCTCCTCCCAGGACGCGCCCGAGGAGCCGGCGGATGCGCTGCTCCGCCCTGGAGCCCTGTGGGTCGGCCTCACGAGGCTCGCACGCTCCCGCGGCTGGCTTCCCTCCCGCGTCGACCCAGCTCGCGCGCACTCGGGAGCGGCCAAGAGGGGGGTGTCCAAGGGGGGGGTGCAAATCATGACCGGCGTCATGTGCGCGGCCCAGCGGGGCGGCCAGGGACGTAATGAAATAAGAAGAGGCGCCATGAAATCTGGGGAAATATCATGGCCCCCGCCATGATATCCACCCCCCCTAGTCATCACCCCCCTCTTTCCCGCCCCCGAGCGCACGTGTGCCCCGCCGTGCCGCCGGGCCACCGCGATGGGCCGTGCCCGGGAGCCCGGGGGGGGCGGGGGGGCTGTGCCGCCTCGGCGCCTCGCCGCGGCAGGCGGCCTCGCGAGGGCCACGCGTCGCCTCCTCTCTCCGAGCCCGCGCCCGCCCGGGGACGCGGCGAGCCGGGCGGGCGCGGGCCAAGCAAGGCGCGCCCAGGGACGCGCCAACAAACGGGCAGGCATCCCAGGAGCCCTCAGATTTTCCAACACTTCCTGGGTGATCGTCTCCCCCCCCACGTCCCATGGTTTCCCATTTTTTCCCCTGGGACTCGACGATGCATTTTGTCTGTGCGCTTTCCCCCTCTCCTGCGTCACGGACGACTCGGGGGCCTGACGACCAGGCCGCCCACAGGGCCGTCGAACTCACCCATGTTTTTTTCGTTACAGGGCAGTTTTTGATACATAGGACTTTTTAAAATGTGGGATTTTCAGTGCATATTTAATGTATGAGTAAATTTATGCACGAACGCATCGTTGTTTTCAATGCTAAACCCCAGCATTTTTAATACATGATCCGCACGCGGAGCATGTATTGAAAACGGCACTGTAATAAGAACATCAGCGGAGAACAAGCGCGACGCGCAGCCGCGGGCGTCCGACAAAAGGCACCAGTCAGTCTGGGGCCTTCGGGAGCTGCGCGAGGCGCGCGCGAAAAATGGCGGCGCTGCCCCCCGCCGCGGCACACATCGCCCAATATGCGAGCGTCGCCGGCCCGCGCCGTCGACGGATCCGTGGCGCTGCAGGCAAACTACAGGGATGTGTTTAATGAATCGGTTTTTTGATAATATAGGGTTTACAGTACATAATTAATATATGAATAAATGTATGCATGAGCGCATCGTTGAATCCTGAATAAATCCGTGCATTTGTAATACATGGTCCGCACGCGGAGCATGTATAAAAAACGGCACTGTACCACCACAAGGGAGACCGAATGAGGAACGAAGTCCCGTTTTGGCCCCGTGCGCGAGGATCGTTAGGGTAACAACCAACAGAAGGATTCAAAGAACAACGACCCCTTTCCGATCCCGACCTATTCCATGTTACGGCGTCTCGACTGTATCACCGCAAGGGCAACCAAGACGATCCCGAGATGAACGTGCAGAGCTGGAGCACTTACCCAGGATGGGGAAGGATGGAGGGGGGGAACAATGAGCGTACCCGAAGACCACTGCAGTTAATCCGACCTGCGCTCCGACACATAAACGGCTAATCCGTACGCGCGTACGAACACGCATGGAACGTGGTCGATGGTCAAACGGTAATCCCAAGCAACGGCCGAAGCCTTACTCCGCGACTGCTTCAATGGGCAATCGGCGGAAAACTACACATGATCGGACGGATCGCGGCTCATGGTTCGGCGTTTACTGGAAATATTGCCGCATGGGCGAAGAACATAACAAATGGGTGGGCGGTGCACATGTCACACGTAGTTGACCAAACTTTACATCGATGGAACGCCTGCCATGTGACGATAGGGTCGGTACGAATGAGTGTGTATACGTGTGTGGCGTAAATAAAAGGCCGTATGTGTCCGTCACCACGCTTGCAGCGGTTGTCGTATTGGGCCCCTGTGTGTCGCTGGTGCTGCGCGCTGCGAAGCAACAGTTGGGACCGCTCCGACGCCTCGAGCGCAACATGAGCTCAATTGTTGGACCCCTGCGCTGTGCTCTCGAAACAGAAAGTGGCACCAGTGTCATGAAATATTGAGGGGCCCAGGGACACACGAATGACTCTACAGGCGCAAATCCCAGGATTCCCTACATCTTCCCATAGTTTCTGTGTTTTCGTCTTCCCCCCACTTCCCAGTTTTTCCCATCTTACCTGGGAATCGGCGATTGTGTCTGTGTGATTTCCCTCCTGGAATATCTGCGCAGAGCTTCATCGTGCTTAAAACCCCTCCACGATGCGGGCCGCGGCCTCTGACCCAGACCAAAAAAAAGGAAACCAAACCTCTAACTGATAGCCGCTCCGGACCACCGTCGTGGGCCAGCGCGCGCAAGATTGCGGCGCTGCAGTGCAGAGGCGAGGAGGAGGAGGAGGAGGAGGAGGAGGAGGAGGCGAGGAGGAGGAGGAGGAGGAGAAGTGCGAGTGTCGGCCGACGGCCCCGTGGCATCTACCCTCCAGCCCCAAGGCCAACCCCCCGCCCCGCACCCCGAGCCACGTTCACCCTCCCCGTGACGCCCGCCCGAGGGCAGCGGGGAAATCGCGGCAGCACAATCAGATGAGACGAGGTATGTTTCAGTTCGGAAGTACCATGCCGACAAGACTGCAGGATCGGGGGAGACGAACAACTGCGGATCGGGGGACTCGCTTTGGCTTGACGGGGCCGTCACGAACATGACGAGCCCGACAAGAAATTGGGCGTAACCTCACGAGGCAAACATTCCACGGAAACTGGACCGTCAAAATTCAGGACGCGTCCGCGTGAATTGAGCAGGGACCGACCGTCCCGACATTCCTATAGACCTACCACGATATGTTCTTAGAACCCGACAATGTTCTAATGACAAAAACAACTGTTCTTATAGCATTAACCCGATGTGTTCAAACAAGACACTCCCGAATAGAAATGTTCTAAGAACATTGCGTGGGAACCACAAAATATTCCTAGAACATTGTTTGGTAGGGCTATGGGCACGCCGGGACGCTTCGCCACCGCTTGAGTGAAAACGTCGGCTTTTCCGAGGTTCGACGAACTCTAGTCTTACGTTTCCCCGAAAGAAGCTAATAAACACTTTCAAGCTGGAGTCTGTCCGATCGGGGTGCAGAGAAGCGGCGAGGCGGCAAAACCAAATTGAAAGCAACAACACATGCAGCATCAACGAATAGAAACACAAAACACACAATGATCCAAACACCAAGGCACAGTAACTGAATATTGTGTCCGTTTGTCTTCGACTTGCTGTCTTCTCAACAGTCTGTCTGTCTCGGGCCAGGAGGTGTCAGATCAGATCTCGTGCAGATCTCAAATCATCCGTTGTGTTTCCTGCCTGGACGTCCTGCTTGGGCACCACCGGCGGGAAATTGGGGAAGCACGGTTGTGGCTCCTTCCTGTACACGCGGGCCCAGTCGACGTCCTCAGGAAACCCGATAAAGCGAGGATGTAACACAAGGGGGAAGATGTGGGAGGGAAGGAACGGAAGAAGAAAGCTGGAATCACCGTTTCGATCACCTGTCCTCCAGCCACGCATGCTCCTTCACCTCTATGGCCCCCCTGGTTGTTCCCAGCCGGCTCGCAGGGTCTGCTGCAAGAAGGCCACTGAGGATTCTCTGCGCGTCGTGCAGGATCCATGCAGGATAGGAGCACTGCTCCCCCTTGACGCGGCGCTGGATCATTGCCTTGTAGTCGCCCTCGTAGTGTGGCAAGGAGCCCGTGAGCAAGCAATACAACAAACATCCCAGACAATAGTAATCCAAAGGGAATCCATGCCCCTGTCGGCCAACCATCTCTGGGCAAAGGTACCCCGCAGTTCCAACAAAAGACGTGAATACGGGGCGGTCGCGCGACAAGCATTCTTTGGAGAGGCCGAAGTCGGTCAGCCGGACGTGACCATCGGCACCCAAAAGGCAGTTCTCTGGCTTCAAATCTCGATAAAGGATCTGCTGCGAGTGCAAGTACTCCAGCCCGAGCAGGATCTCGCAGAAGAAAAAGCGGGCGTCGCACTCGGCAAAACGCCCCCTCTCCTGCATGTGGAAGAACAGCTCTCCGCCTGAGCAGAAGTCGAGCACCAGGAACAAGTGAGAACTCGTCTGGAGCTGGAGGCGGCTGGGGAGTCTGCGCCGGAGAAGCCCAGAGAAATTCGATCAAGAGGGTGTGGACAAAGCCGACGCCGCTCGAAATCAGTCCCCAAACCCATCGCTGGGGTCGAAACTGATTCCTTTTGTGAGCCGCGCCCAACCGTGGCGACGAGAAGGCTCCTTCTCCTCTAATTCTGCGGGCCGTGACGGGACCAGAAGTAGGAAGAAAAGGCCTCAACGTAAAGTTTTGGCGCTCCGCGCGGGTTTCTCGGATCTGCGCTGGACACCCTCCCTGGCGCGCGGAGCGCGCCAGGGGCGGCGCCGGAGGCGCTGGATGCTGGACCGCCTCGGACCCCCAGCTAGTTCCCCCTGGGGAAACCAAAAGGCACCGATGCCGCTACCCCCCGGACCTCTCCCGGGGTGCGTTCTTCAAGGGGCCCGAGGACACACAAATAAATACACACAAATAAAATGATTCCCCATGTTTTCCTATATTTTCTGGGTGTTTGTCTTCCCGCCCAATTCCCATATTTTCCCATATTCTCTTGGGGATCGTCGATTAATTGTGTCTGTGTGTTTTTTCCCTTCCTGAGTTCGGACCTGAATGCCGAGGCGAAGCCAGGGGTGGCGACGAGGGCCTCTCCCAGGAGGCCCAGAGCAGGAAAACGGCCAAAGGGCAGAGGTCTTCGGGGGCGTCCAGAAGAGGGGCGTGTCCAAGATGAGTACCTACCAGACCACCCCAACCCAACCCGAAGACCCGAATTTGACCCGAATTTCGGGTTGGGGAGGGTACGGGCTCCATATGTGTTTTTCCAATGTTTCCCGACCCCCTCCACTGGAAATGGAGGGCAAATTGATGCCTTCGGGTTGGGTTGGGGTGGTTTGGTGGGTGGTGACAAGAGGGGTGTGTGCAAATCATGGCCCGAGGCATGTGCGCGGACCACAGGGGGGGGCCAGTGAACGTGTTGGAGTACAAGGGGCCCCTGAAATCCGAGGAGCTATCATGGACCCCGCCAAAATATCTCCCCCCCCCCCCCTGGTCCTCACCCCCCGCCTGGCCGCCCCGAGGCCTGGGTACCTCTTCCTGCTCTGAACCTCGGCCCCCCAGCCAGCTCCAGGGCTGGAAGGCCCAGTGCAGCGACACCACGAAGGGGTGCGCCAGCCGCGCGAGGATGCGCTGCTCCGTGACCACGCGCTCCAGGCGCTGCTCCTGCTCGAGCAGGCGGGCCTGTCGCGGGGCGTCTCTGCGGGGGCCGCCGGCCGGGCCACGGCTCTGTGGCAAACTCTCGGGAGCCTCCCACACCATCTGGTCGGCTCTTGCGAATCGACGCCGCTCGACGCTGAATCGACGCTATATCGACGCTAAATCGTGCCATTCCATCGGCTCCCAGACGCGAGTTGAGCCGCGAAAGACGGAGTTGCGAGGTACACCCGGCTCCCAGGCTTTGCTGCCGAAGCACGGCTTGAGGGAGCAGCGGGCAGCAGCGGGCCTCTGGACGTCACCTCTCGCGTCCAGCCCTCGTCGCGCCCCCAGCCTATGGACTGGCGAACCGTCCTTGCAGAAGAAGCTCTCATGTGCCCCTCGCGTCGGTCGATCACAAACATACGTCGGACGCAACGTCGACAAGTCACATGTTGCGTGCCACAAACAACAAGGGGGAGAGCAGAACGACGGCGCAACAAATCCTCGGCGTTCACACACAAGCATACTCACAGTTGTGGCCTGGAACATTGATCACAGCGGCTGGCCGAGCAAACAGAGTGTGTTCCCGTACCCACATGTCTAATGCACATATGTTCAGCTTTGAACGTTCTGGTCCCGCGTCTGCAAGATTCCCAAGTGTTGTGGCCCTGGGTCAACTGAATGTGCACTGGACATGAGGGCTGCATGTATGTACGGTATGTATGCGAAATCGCAGGTTATGGCATATTATGATTGCATCTCGTAGACCCCCCCCCACACACAACATGACTCAAATGGTCGGCGGCAGAGCTTGGACCGCATTGACTGAATCCTGTTGCCAGCTGCCACAAAAGGTAGCGCATCACACGCCCACATCTATAAAACCAGAGATCCGCCACCGTGCCCTTGAGGCACGAGATGGAGTGCCCTCAGGTCCGTTGCCTAATTCCTTCAACCTGAGGATTCCTTTAGGGGCCCAGATCCCACATTGCCACCTCTCTTAGGGCTTGCCGCGTGACGTCTGGGGTTTTCGACATCTTCTCGCATGACCTTTTCGTGACAAGAATGAGCGGCGAGCGCGGCGGGGAAGTGAGAAAGGACGGGCCTTCTCAGACGGCTCGAGTCCTCCGGCCTTCTGAGAAGTTTGCTGAGCCTTCCCTGGAGACACAGAAGACTTCTCCGAAAGACAGAGGGCTTCGGAGAAGTCTCGCTGCCTTCTGAGAAGGCCTTCTCCTTCTCACTTCCCCCCTATGCTCGCCGCCGAAAGAGGGCCCTAAAAGGCCGCCCAGACGGTCCAAGAAGGCTCCGAATCGCCGCACGATCGGTCCAAGACGCCCAAGACGGTCCAAGGACGGCCCAAAAAGCACTCAAGACGCCCCAAGAGCTTCCGCAATAGACGAGGCCAAACTCCTGGAACCTCCTTACGTGTTCGATGGTTTTGAAGTCCTCCACGTGTCCAACTTCCAACGCTCCAAGACGGCCAAAGAAGCTTCCCGGACCGCCCAGAGACGGCCTGAGAGGCCCCAAGAGGGCGCCTAGGATTCTGGACGTCCCCGACGATATCAAGAATCACTTCAGAGTAGGACGAGAAGGAACAACAAGAGCCCTCGCTGATAGACCTCAAAGAGGAGGGGCAGGAGAAGGAGAAGAAGAAGGAGTACGACCATGAGACGAAGTCTGACTGGAGGAGGATGAGCAGGAGGAGGAGGAGGGGGGTTGAACGGATTGCAAGTGCAAGAGGGGCGAAGGGATCTCCTTCGCGAGTGCAAGCGCAGAAAACGCAAACAACCAAACAAAATGCAGAGAAAGCAAATACGGCGGCCACACAAGGAACTGTGCAGTTTGTAAGGCCGCCGAAGAGAGAATCCTGTTGTAAGGCCGCCAATGTGTTTCTTGCGTGTTATGTGTTGCGTTGTGTTGTGTTGTGTGTGCGTGCGTGTTTGAATTGTCCGTGTTTTCTGCCGTGCCCTTTCTCACACAAAGATCCACTTCTGTGGCGGCCTCACAAAGGGATTTCCTTTGCGAGTTCCAACGCAGGAAACGCAACAAAAAGCACAGACATACCAACTCAACAACAAAACACCCAGGAAACGATGAAAACGCAAGCGTGGCGGCAACAAAAAGACATCTCCCTTTGTATGGCAGCCGCAAAGCGAATCCCTTTGTGAGATGGTGTTCCCTTGAATTCCTAGTGTGGCGGATGTACAATGACTCCTTTCGTGGCGTCCTTCCAAAATATTATCTTTGGTGGCGGCCGAACAACAGGAATTGGGCAGACCTCAAATCCAGAGCCTGCTCCTCCTCAACTCCTTCCTCCTCCCGATAAATGTCATCATCATGCCTCTCTCCTCCCTCCCTCCTCTCCGTGATCCTCCTCTCCGTCCCCCCTTCTCTCCGTCATCCGCTTTTGCTCTCGTCCTCCTCCTCCTACTCCTCGTCATTCCCCACTTCCCTCTCCTCTCACTATCCCCATTCCATCATACATCGAATACGTGTCCTCCTCCTACCCGGAACGCCGTGGAATACAATGGTCATAAGGGGGGGGGGGCATGGTGAAGATAAGGCTGGCTGGTGAGATGCCTCCTCCTCCTCCTCCACCTCCTCCTCCTCCTCCTCACCCCTCGCCCCTGCACCCGTACCTCGGACGTCCTTCCTCCTTCCTCCTCCTGCCACACATCTAAACCATTACGATAACCACTCGCCATCGTCCTGGCTCCTCTTCGGCAGGGGGAGTTGGTACGGGCTGCGTCTGCGCGTGAACAGAATGAGGAGCCTACATCAACATCAATCCATCTCCTCCTCCCCTCATCATAAGCACAGCTCCTCCTCGTCGGGTGAAGAAGGGGTATGTGCGATACTCGCAAGGGGGCGAGCGAGAAGAAAAGAACGGGAGTGGATGATGATGACGATGATGAGGATGGTGGTGAGGACGGCGATGAGGACGAGGATGGGGATTGGGAGAAAAGGTAGCAGGAACATGCGGAGACCTATACACTGGTTAGTGTGCAGGGGGAGGAACCCAAGGTGCTGGGATTGTCCTCCCCCCTGTGGTCAACATAGATCCTCCTCTTCCGCGGGTAATGAGACGGGGGGGGGGTGCGATACCGTTCAAGGGGTGGGCACGGGAATGAGGGACGACGTGGATGACGATGATGGTGATGACGACGATGATGTTGGTGATTATGCGGACGGAATCAGGAAGAGGAGGAGGCAACTGATGACATGAAGCATCTATAAGAGGCAAAATCCGATGTGATGTGTCACGCATGTGGGGGACAATACCTCCCCCATATCTGCGTACCCCATCACCGCCCAAACATATGAAGAGACATGCAACGGAAGATACTTGAGAGGATCGTCCCCATCCTGCCCCCCCATTGTCTTTGCTCCCTCCCCACTCCGCGTCTACGGCTTCATTTTTCCTCCTTGTCCCTCCTCTTGCCTCGTGTCCCCCCCCTCCCACGGTTCCAGCTTCCCGACATCTTCCCCATCCTCGCAATCTCAGCTCATCGGAGGACGAGAAGGGGGGGGGAAGGAGGCGGGGTGCCGGAAGCGGAAGACATTGAGGGTGAGAAGACGCCTGCTCCGCATCCTCATGCTCCTCACGGCCCCCGAAGCGCCCACGATGCCCCCAAGAAGACCTAAAAGATAGCTTCAAAAGAAGAGCCCAAAAGGGGAGCACGAACGGAAAATCCGAGTCTTCCGCCCCGAGGAGGCGCTAGGAGGCCCCAGACAGGCCCCAAGAGACCCCCGAAAAGCTACCCAAACAACCCCAGAAGCCCCAATGCGGCTCCCGAGATGCATGTAAAACGACCCCGAAGAGGCCCCCGAGAGGCCTGGGGCCCACAACCCAAGCAAAGTGCGCAGGATGGGCCGAAGGCCAATCGATAACCTCTGAAAATCAAAACGGCGACAAACGCAACCCTCGGTCCAACTACCGCGAAACACACAACACAGCGGCAACGAAGGCCGACCACCGTGGCCCACACCCACGCCAACACACGAATCCACAATCCGTTGGGCCAGGATCCGCGACAGCCTACCAAGACACGGAACACACACATACACACAGGTAAAACTGAGAGCGGAATTCGACGGGTGGGAAGCCAAGTCGGGGGCGCGCACTCATGGATTAGCGATCCATGGACTTGGCGCGGGGTCGCCAACTCCGTGACTCGGGGGAGGTGCCCTCCCCAACATGCGGCCGGTGCCGCTTCGATCGGCGGCAGAAATCCGCGATTTGCCATGCAAAGGGGACCCATCGCTAATCCACGCCCCCTTGATCCGTGTTTGCGATCGCCTGACCATGGCAAGCCGCCAGGATGCAAAACAGCGCCATGCAAGCGTCGGCAGCGGATGGCCGGAACGTCAGAATCGGATTGGGAGGGGCTTCCGGGAGGAGGGAGCAGGAGGAGGAGGCAGAGGAGGAGGAGGAAGAAGAAGAAGAAGAGCGGCCTCGGGGGGCGGAGTCTGGCGCGTGCCTCTTGCTCTAGCCCCCGCCGTCGCCCGCGCAGCGCGGGCACCTTCGCTCAGCTCGCGGCGTCGCGCACGCCGAGCTTGAAACCGACCATGGCGTAGATAGTCGGCCTCCATACAAATTCACTGTCCTGCTAACCAGGCAGCCAGCTCACCATCCCTGACTCCCGCTGGTGCCTTGCCCTTCTTGGCCACCGCTCCTATCTGAAGTAGTGCGCGGTGGGTGGTTTCCTGGAAGCTGATCCACTGCAACTGCTCCTCCGTCGGTTCCTCCTGGCACTCCGCGTCCGTCCATGGGCCCTGCGCGATGAACAGCGTGAGCTACTCTTGGTCGTAGTCGAAGCACCTGCTGAGTATGATGTGTTTGACTTTGCATAGCACCGTCGCTGCGTTGATCTTGCCCAGGAAGAGACTGGCAGTGTAGTAGACTTTACACGCTGCGCCTGAGTGGACAAGACATGTGCAGCATACTCAATCCTTGAACTGAGGGCTTGGCAATCATCTTGTCGAGCGTGAGGCTTAGGCTGTGTTGAGCGTCCATTGAAGCTAAGCCAACCCAGTAGACATGACGGAGTAGCCCTTCGAGACATAGGACTATCCGGGGCGCCTCCTTCAGCTCCTCGTAGTAACCGAGGCCTTGGGTCTGCGGCTTTCTCTTTGTGGTAACTGTAGGCTACAGGATGATCTGGGACATGTCAGCTGGCAACGACCACTCGGGACCTGTAGCCCGTTTTTTGAAGTACTTGAGCCGCTTCTTGACTCCGTAGTAAAGGGTGCCCGAGTTCTCTTTCTCCTCGCGATACTCGTCCTTGACCTGCTGCTTGACGTCGTCGTCGCGGTCCTCGCAGGCGGCCAGGAGCAGCTTTTCTCTCTTCGTCGAAGTCGAACAAGTGAGCCTGAAAACCTCCATGAGCGCCATTGGGTGCACCTTGCGTAGTCCTCTCGGCGAGGCTCGGTCTCGAACGGGTTGCCCTGCTGTAGTAGTTGCGGCTCCTCTGGCCGCGATTGGTACCTGCCATGCACCTGCTGCGTCGATGTATTTCTGCGTGCGGTTTTTTTCATGCCTCAGCAATCTGTGCCTCTGATGATATCTTGCGAAACGCGTCGTGGAGTTGCTTCTGCATCTTGATAACCCTCGTGGGTGTATCTAGCTTCTCTCCGATGACAGGCTCAATCCCTGCGCCGATGTACTGTATGCGTAGCTCCGCACCTTTCTGCAGAAGCGCGAGCTTCGCTGCCAAGAACTTCTTGCTGGAACCAGAATGTTTGTTTTCTCTCGAAGTAGGGCTTGGCTGTGGTCTTGAGCATGTCGATCAGAAGCTGCCTTTGGGCGTATGTGGTGCCCTGCTCGTTGAGGTCGCGGATGGTATCTGTGTTGTTCTCCAGCGCGGTCGCGAGGGCTGAGATGAACACGTTGTGATAATCCCCAGTTTGTCGAGACTCTGCCATTTTGTCGTAATCCCATAAAGTCCAAAGTATGTATGAGAAGATGTTGGGCATGACAATGTCGGCCCTGGCGATGAGTGGCTCGTGGTCCCACGGCTCGCTGTCCTTGAGCTGCTGAACTGCTTTCACTGCCTTCCACCGAATACTGGATGTCTGGCGATTCTGCAATAGCCTTTGATTAACCACGAGGCAATCAGGTCTCGTAGCTTGTCCTGTTGCACCAAAATAGGTAGGGCCCGCCTGCCAGAAGGAACTGGGGAGGCAGAATCCGTAATCGCTCAGCATGTTATAGCAGGAGGCTGCGGCTTCACCTGGCCGACCGAGTAGTTGTGAGTCTCTGAAGGCTTCATTTACTTCGGATGCGATGAGCCCAACAGCTCCATGTTGATGATCTTTGAGGTCTGTGCCTATCGACGGTGTGCAGCACGTCGGTGTGGCATGAAGCGTACTGTTGATCCACTTGAGCGTCTCCTTGACCGTTTTGACCCACTGGATGCACTTACCCGCGAGCCCCGAGCGAGGCGAGTAGACCACAAAGAAGGCGAGGTCGAACTCGTCCCTCTGGAAGCGGAGAGCACCAGCGCGTCCTTGTATCTGCTTGGACGGGGTCTTGATCTCGACGGCGGCTCGCGGACCGAACCGCTGGTAGCTCACCATGATCACCCTTCCAGCATGACTATTGGTGAGCGGTCCGCGGCCATAGCCCCACGTGTAGACCTCGTGCTTGAGATTCTTGAGCTGGTCGACCTCTGAGCTTGCGTCGTGCATTCGCCAACGCGTAGCTGGGGGCAGCTTCGCGTCCACGGCGCTGTAGGTGTGGCTGATCACCAGGCAGCGAGATAGCGCCAGCAGCGAGATAGGAAAATATATATATATATATATATATATAGACTCCCCCTCGGAGGAACGGCATAACGATCTAGATCGTCATGAAGAATATGGAAGCCAGCCCGGCAGGCATGTCATGGAAGGCGCCCTCTGCGGGCGGAGCTGCTCTGCGCGGGGTGCCAGCTGGGCCGCTGAAGAGGTGGCTTGAGCAGAAGCGGCGGCTGAGGAGGAGGAGGAAGAGGAGGAGAACGAGGAGAAGAAGGAGGAGGAGGAGAAGGAGGAGGAGGAGGAGGGGGAGGAGGGGGAAGAGGAGGGAGACGGACCGAACCGACTGGATCGGACCGGGCCCCGCCTTGCTCATCACCTTCACGGCGCGCATCTCCCCGCTGGGCCTGTGCAGGGCCTGGAGCACCCGCCCGGAGCCGCCGACGCCGACGACCTGGACGATGCTGAAGTCCTCGATGCTGTGGTGGTGCGGCGAGCGCGGCGCCGCCGCGGCGTGCAGGCCGTGCACGGCGGGTTCCCCCGGCCCCCGCCGCGCGGAGGAGGGGCACGCCACCTCCAGGGGTCCTCCCTCTCATCCCCCTCCTCCTTCTCCTCTTCCTCCCCTTCCCCCCCCCTCCTCCTCCTCGTCCTCCTCCTCCTCCTCCTCCTCCTTCTCCTCCTCCGCTCTCCTCCTCCGCCCTCTTCCTCCTCCTTCCCTCCTCCGCCTCCCTCCTCCCTCCTCCTCCTCCTCCTTCACCTCCTCCCCCCTCCTCCTCCTCCTCCTCCTCCTCCTCCTCCTCCTCCTCCTCCTCCTCCCCCTCCTCCTCCTCCTCCTCCTCCTCCTCTTCCTCCTCCTCCTCCTCCTCCTCCTCCTCCTCCTCCTCCTCCTCTCCTCCTCCTCCCTCCTCCTCCTCCTCCTCCTCCTCCTCCTCCTCCTCCTCCTCCTCCTCCCCTCCTCCTCCCCTCTCCTCCCCCTCTCATCCTCCTCCTCCTCCTCCTCCTCCTCCTCCTCCTCCTCCTCCTCCCCCTCCTCCCCTCCTCTCCCCTCCCCTCCTCCTCCTCCTCCCCTCCTCCTCCTCCTCCTCCTCCTCCTCCTTCTCCACCTCCCCCTCCTCCTCCCCTCCCCCTCCTCCTCCTCCTCCTCCTCCTCTCCTCCTCCTCCTCCTCCTCCTCCTCCTCCTCCTCCTCCTCCTCCTCCTCCTCCTCCTCCTCCTCCTCCTCCTCCTCCTCCTCCTCCTCCTCCCCCTCCTGGGCGGGCGCTGCTACCAAGAGGGTTCTTCTGGACTCCAGTCAGGGAGGCGCCAGCAAACTTGCCCGCCAACGCTCCGGAGGAAGAAGGAGCTCCAGCGAAGCCCTTCGGGCCCGCCTGCCGAGCTCCCAAACCAGAAGAACTGCCCAGTCTTCGGGGAGCGCCGCAGGCTGGCGCCGAGGGGGGCGGGGGGGGGGGGGAGGGGGAGAGGAGCGGCATCCAGGAGCAGCCTCCAGGATCCAGGCGGGGGGGCGGGAGGCAAGGGCGCCTCACCTTGCGCTGCGCGCTGCGCGAGGCGCTAGCAACTTCGTGCCCTCGCGCCCCCCCTCAGGGGAGGAGGAGGCGGAGGAGGAATCGAAGCCGAACCGCGAAGCGCGAACCACTTCGTGCCTCGTGCCCTCGCGGGCGCCTCCCTGGGGGCACGACGGGAGCCCCACACACCCCCTCTTCCTGCGCCCTTTCGAACAAAAACAGATCGACGAGTGATGGCCCCAGTAGGCCCGAAGCCGGGCGAACACGCCCGGCTCGAGAGGCTGGAGGCGCCAGGGACCTCGGGGAGCGGCCTCCGGGGCGCAGGCGGGGGACGGGGGGGCGGGGCCCGTCGGGGGACGCCTGGCGGCCGCTGACGTGCGCGCGCGCGGAAGAGGGGGAGCAGCCTCCAGGGGAAGGGGGGGGCGGAGGGAGGCACGGGCGGAGGCAGGGTGAAGTCGGGCCTGTCCCCCTAGAGGGGGATTTTCGACGAAACATATTAAAATCCAAACAAAAATCTGGGGACTATTCTTTTGTATATTTGTTCACCTTTGTGGGGCATTTTCGGGGTATCGTTTATTCTTCGTCGACAGTCCCCCTGTAGGGGGACACGCCCGACATCAAGGCAGGGCTCGAGCTCAACAGTGCCGGTCGCTTCCGTGTCCTCCTCGCTTGCCCTCGTGCTGTCTTCGCCCCGCCGGTGCGGCAGAACGAGACCGAAACAGGAGCAGTCCACAACATCGCCCAAACACCGTACACCTCGCGCCCTGGCCGGGGGTGGGGGGAAATGGAGGAGAGGGGCGGGAGCGACGGGCTGAGGGATGGACTCGGGGAGGAGGTCAGTCAGTCAAGCCCTGCGCTCGAACGGCGCATTGGCTCGGGGAGGAGGGGACCGGGCAAAAGGGGGCAGGGAGGTGATCGGATCGGGTGGGGGCGAGGCTAGTGAGGAGCGCGGGGGGGAGGAGGGAGATAAAGGCAGAAAAGTAGGGCCAGGAAGGTAGCGAGGGGGAGAGGGGGAGAGAGAGGAAGGGTGGAGGACAGAAAAGAGAGGTTCTGGTCATAAGTAGGCCTCATGACGATCCAGGAAACCCAAAACGCTCTCGGCGAGGAGCAGCCGCTGGCAGGCATCCAGCGGCTGGAACGCAGGCAAGAACCAACGAACACGCCCCAACACCTCGAAACTCGAAACTTCTCCCCTACCGCTGCCCCTCGGGTACCGAGATAGGAGGGGTGGGACATGGGAACACACACACACACATAAACACAAACTTCTGGGGCTTCTGGCGGATTTCCAGGACTGGCTGAGGATACTGGTGTAGATTATACTGACGTCCGCGATGGTGATAAAGATGATGATGTAGATACTGGAACTGATGACTCTGCTAATACTGGTGGTGAGGCTGCTGATGCTGATGGTTGTGCTAATGAGTATGCTGGTCAGGAGTAAGGTGATGCTTCTACTGGTGCAGCTGATGGTGTTAGCTGATGATGGTGATGACGATGCTCTTGCGTATGCTGATATTGCTGATGACGATGCTGCTGCTGGTGAGGTTCACGTTGCAGGAAGTGGTGATGCTGCTCACGATGGTGATGATATGGATGATGATGCTTATGATGATGCTGATGATGATGATGATGATGATGATGAGGGTGATGATGCTGAAGATGATAATGATGATGATGAATGGTATGGCGATGAAAATGTTGAGGTTGATGTTTATGATGAAGATAATGTGGATGTTGACGACCCGACTGTAATACGTTGTTGGGGGAGACACTACAGGAGCGGGGAGGGTGGCCAGACGGACCACGGGACCATACCAAAACCCACAGCGGGGCGGCCGTTCAAAGAAAAGTGTGCCTACTCCGAGACGTAAATACAAACTACGATGATGCTCATACTGATGATGATGATGCTGATGATGATGATGCTGATGGTGGTGGCGGTGGTGGTGATTATGATGATGCTGATGATGGTATTGACGATGCTATTAATTGTAATGGTGCTAAGCAGTCTAAGTGACCCTAACACTTGGGAGTGGACCTAAACTACGAGAGCCAAAGCATTGGGGATGATGGAAATTTGCCAGCAGACGTACCGAACGACACTATTCAGAACTATCATCCCTGATGCAAAGACGAAGGCCTCAGTGAGGCTACGTCTTCATCGTGCTATCAACCGAACTAGGTCTTTAAAACCATCCCCCTATAGTGGAAACGAAATATCCTTTTGGCGCCCTTATTGACGGACTGAGGCCCAATAATGGGAAAATCTGATTTCTGCGTGGCAGCCGCCGCGCAATGACGACGGCGAGGAAGAGGAGAAGGCGGAGGAGGAGGAGGAAGAGGAGCAGGCAGAGGAGGAGGGACGAGTTTTTTATTCCCCGCCGATAGAACAGGGGCTGGCGGGGGAGGCAAATCTGAAGACCTCGTGGGGTCAGGGTCAGGGGGGCCCTTTTTACTCTCAACGATTTGATGCCGATGGCGGCGCCTCGAAGACGGCCTCGAACGCGTCGCCGGTGCCCAGGGCGTCCTGCACGGGAAGCCCGTAGTCCTGGGCCGCGGGCAGGGGCCTCAACGCGGGGCCACGGCCCAAGGGCAGGCCGACCCCTGCGGCAGGATCGCGCGGCGTCGGCGCGCGCAGAGGTTTTTGGCAGCGCGTCGATCGGTCAGTCTTGAGATCGATCACGGCCATGATCGTTCTCGAGGTAGAACTCCGTCGGGTCCAACGGCGCTGCTGCGGCCTTCGGAGCTTCCGCGTTGCAGAGTTCAACCTGGAACGCCTCTGTTTGCGTCGCCTGCGCGCCAACGCCCCATGAACCTGACACATCCCAGGCTTCGTGGGGTTTTCGAGTTGACCAGAAATTTGGGCCACAACCTTAGGATATACGATGGGGTGGCGTCAATCCTCGATAGGGGTGCGTTCGAGTAGCCCCCTTGGGGCGTATCCCAGGGTTTCTTTCCCTTCCTGAGCGACTTCATTTCTCATGAAAAAATGGGGTTAAGGATTAAACATCGCTTGCGAGCTACGTGGCCTCCCAGGGCAGCCTTTGGGGGGGGGAGGAGGGGGCGCCCGTGGACGAGAAGAGGGGGAGGTCAGGAGACCCTCCTTGCCCTCCTCCCTCCTCCCCTTCCTCCTCGCCCCCTCCCTCCCTCTCCCCCTTGCGCCCTCCTCGCCCCGTCCCGCCCTCCCTCCCTCCGAAGGGTAGCGGTATGGGCACCTTTTCCTGATCTGCATCCCCCCCCTGCCGTTATGCGTAAGTCGGGCCTGTCTCCCTACAGAAGGATTTTCAACGAAAAATAAAAAAAATGCCCCAAACATAATCAAAACAAATAATCCAAAAATACTCTGGGGACTATTTTCTGAGTATGGTTATATTTGTTCGTCGAAAGTCCCCCTGTAGGGGGACACGCCCGACATAACGTTGTACCCCTGAACTTTGTGGGCCCTGGAAAGGGCAGGGCATTTTTTTCACCATTTCCAAAAAATGTCCCTGGAAAATGGAAACGGTAAAAAAAACGGCGACCGGAAACGGCAAAAAAACGGCTCCAGGATTGGAACCGGAGCCGGATCCGGTTAAAAAACGGCGACGGAACCGGTAAAAAAACGGCGTCGGAACCGGCAAAAAAACAGCAAAACGGAACCGGTAAAAAAACGGCCCTGTCGTTTCCAGGGCCCACTAAGCCCCTGAAAAGACCCCAGCGGGAGCGTCCAGCACCAGCGAGGCCTCCCCCGGCGCGCCCGCCAGCGCCGCCAGCAGGGCGCAGCCCTCCGGCGCCTCGCCGCCCCGGGCGCGCGGCGCCTCGCCGGCGCAGAGGCCGCCGCACGCAGCCGCCACGGCCTCCAGGCGGGGGAGCGCGGGGGGGGAACGACATGCGGGCGGGGGTGCACTGCATGGGGGGAGGGGGCGCCAGGGCCCCCCGAGGCCGAAGAGAGCGGAAGCCAAAGCCTCTGTCGTGTTTTTGTCGTGACTCGAGGGGGGTCGGGTCCCTCCTCCCTCCTCCCTCCTCCCTCCTCCTCCTCCTCCTCCTCCTCCTCCTCCTCCTCCTCCTCCTCCTCCTCCTCCACGTCCTTGTCCTCGTCCTCGTCCTCGTCCTGGTTCTAATCCTGCTCGCCTCCTCCTCCTCCTCCTCCTCCTCCTCCTCCTCCTCCTCCTCCTCTCCTCCTCCTCCTCCTCCTCCTCCTCCTCCTCCCTCCTCCTCCTCCTCCTCCTCCTCCTCCCTCCTCCCTCCTCCCTCCTCCCTCCTCCCTCTTCCTCCGTAGCCATTTTGGCTCAAGACTGATGCTTCTGCGGGCTGAGCCCGCATTGGCGCAACTGGATACCGCTAGTCCGCGGCATACCCCGTCTGCTTCGCAGAGCCTGGTCCGCCCCAGGACTCTGCGTGCCGCCTGCAGCCCGCAGGTGAGCACAGCCGCGCGCGCGCGCGACCGCACTCCAGCTTCTCAGCGCCCTGCGGCATGGGAGGCGATGGCAAAGCAGCGGGGTATATTGGGTGCAAAGCGTGCGGGTACAAGTGGAACTGGAGCAACAAAGTCGAGTGCTTCAAGTGCAAGGCGAAGCTCCGCCCCACCGTCGGCGCCCCACCGTCACCGTCTGGAGTTTGGGCACAGAATGGATCTCATTCTGCGGGTTGGCCACGCTCGGGACGGCAGTGGAAGAAGTGGGCACCATGGCGGTACTCTACGTACGCAAGCACCACGGCAGGCTGGGACACCGTGGATGCGCAGATGGGCGACGTCGGCCAGCCCGACCCGCTCACCACGGTCTCCCTCATCACGAGCTTGGCAGCGTACCAGGGCGTCGGTGAGAAGATCGACCCCACCATCACGGCCGCCTTGGACACGCTACGTCGCAAGGCCCAGGAGGAGGAGGCCAACGCCAAGCCTGCACCAGCCCCACCCAAGCAGCGTACAGGCGCCCAGCTGCTGGCTGACGCCAATCGCTCGCTCAAGGAGCTGGACAACCGCATCGAGAAGCAGCGGACGAAGCTCACGGGCGCGCAGCTGTACTTGGATGACCAGCTCGAGAAGATGGAGAAGTTGGCCCAGCAGAGGGTCGAGGTGCAGCAGCGGCATCTCACGGCGCTCCAACAGGCCAACCAGGAGTCGGGCATCATCGTGGTCAAACCCGAAGAGAAGACCCTCAACGTCAAGTTCGAGTACGACGGCTCGCTCTTCGAGGGCCTCGAGGAGTGCGACATACCGACAGAGGAGATGGACAGCATCATGCAGTGGAAGAGCGAGCTGGAGCATTTCCAGAAGGAGCAGCTGGGCACCCTACAGGCGAAGTTCAAGTACATCGAGGAGATCCACCAGAAGGCAAAGATGGCCATGCAGGCCCCCAAAAAGAAGCGTAAGGTCGAAGCAGGAGCTGACGGGCCCAAGGCAGAGACAGTGGAGGAGGAACCCCCTGCGGCAGAGACACCCACCACAGCAACGGCAGCGACTGCGAGCAACGGCGCGGGTGCGGCAGCCATCAACCCTGAGGACGAGAAGAAGAAGATCAGGGACGCCAACCTGGCGGCCTTGGAGCAGGCTCGGGCTGAGAGGCGCAAGGCTCGCGAAGCTCATGGGCAAGCTGATGGTCTGGCTGATGGTGCTGGGCAGTCTGGGCTTTAGCGAGGCGCAGTCCACCCAGCAGCAGAGCGAGGAGTTCCAGGTCCTGTTCGGCAACATTACGGAGTGGGGCCCACAGGTGCAGAACTACATACAGGGCCCAGCCGCGCAGCAGTTCGATTGCCTGGCGTTCGTGGAGACACATAAGGGGCCCAACCACGTCTCAGCCATGAAGACGTTCCTGCAGAAGGAAGGATGGAAGGCGGCGATTACCCCCGCGGTCCCCAGTGGCAAGTCGGATAAAGGATTGTCTGCTGGTGAGCTTGTCGCCACGCGCACACACATCCAGGCCGCGTCCTTGGAGCACTGGAAGGGCAAGCGCGACAAGCAAGGGGGCGCGGCCTTCGTCGGTTTCTCCCCCATGGTGCTGCACCTCAGCATCGGCAATTTCATCATCATCGCGGCGTACCTACTGCCGACCCTGCGGTTCACGGGCAGGAACCGAAAGGTCATGGCATCCCTCACGGCCTTCGTGCGCTTGCTGAAGGACCCATGGCTCGTCGTGGCGGATTGGAACTGCGTCCCCACCGAGCTGCTCGCATCGGGTTGGATAGAGCAGATGCGAGGCGAGATCATCACGGGCCCAGAGGAGGTCACATGCGACAAAGGCAAGGGCTCCCCCTACGACTACGGCGTTGTCGCGGCGGGCTGTAAGGAAGGGCTTACCATTGCCAAAGAGCTGACAGTACCATGGGCGACGCATTGTGGGCTTCGCATCAGGTTGGCAGGCAAGAAGCAGCGATGGTGGCACCGCACGCTGGACATTCCCAAAGCGTTGCCCACGGAGCCGAGGCCGAAGAAGCAGAAGGACCTGAACAGCAAGCGGAGTAAGCAGCAGGTACGCCGCCAACAGCGTCGCGAAGAGCTGGCACCTGAACTTCGGCATGGTTTCGACCTTCTTGAGCAGGATCCAGGCACAACGGCTCCGGACACACCCCCGACAACTCAGACTCCAAGCGCGGCCTCACCGTCCATCAACTTCCACATCAGTAGCGCTACGTGGGAGTATGCCAAATGGGGATTGTCTGGTATCCCACCAGATATTCAACTCAGATGGGACCGATGGCGACCTCAGTCCTATCGTGACCGCCCACTGCTGGCGCAGAAGTTGGCGAGCAGCTACGGCAGGTGGATCGAGGCCGTGGAGGAGGCAGTCTTGCAGCATTCAGAGGTCCCTCAGCACCAACGAGACGGCTACCGTGGTAGGGCGCAGGGTTTCGGCATCAAGTGGAAAAAGAGCACAGCATCGCCAGGCAGACCGCATCTGTACAATCCCGAGGCAGATTGGTGGGCCATCACGCACACGCAGGTGATCGCGATTAACGGCCTAGTGAAAAACAACAAAGACCCTCAGCAGCTACAACAACGAGGGCAAGATTTTCGACAGCGTATACAGCAGGTGCACGGGGTCAGCAAGCACAAGGATATCGAGCTGCTCAACCAGTGGCAGCAGCTGGCGCACGACATCTTCAGCCCAGTCCGTCAGGAGCGAGAGGACGTGATAGAGATCACCGAGAGGTTGGCAGGACAAGCTGCGCGGAGAGCTCTGGCAGATGGCACAAAGGGCTTCATCAAGTGGGCGCAAGATATGTGGAAGAAGACCCCTGGGGCCTTGCACAGATGGACGAAGGACACGCAGCAGCCGCGGCTCGAAGAGATGATCTCAGGCAAGATCGTGGCCGACCCCATCCTCATCATGAGCCACAAGAGCGAAAGTTGGGCCAAGAAGTGGACGGCTGCACCGCATAGACAGACAGCACTTGCAGGCGCTCTTCGCCGTTGCCGACTCTCGGCAGCCCAAGAGGACCTCCCACAGCTCACGATCCAGGACCTCAACGCAGCCACCCACCGTATGGGGGTCAAGAAGGCACGAGGTATCGATGCGATAGGTCCCTTGGACATCGAGAGGCTCCCTGACCAGGCCAAGTACGACTTTATGGATATCATCGCGCAAGCCGAAGAACATCTGATGTGGCCTCCTCAAGTTCTCGGCACCATCGGCGCGATTGCGGGCAAACCAGCAGGAGGTGATCGGGTCCTCGGGCTTTTACCTATGACGATTCGTATATGGTCACGAATGCGTTCGGGAGTGGTCGAGTCGTGGACGCAGCAGTTGGAGGACAATTGGGGTACTGCGTTGCGTGGTTCCTCAGCGCTACGGGCGGCATTGCTGCGAGCTACCCTCGACGAGACGGGTCACTCCATGGGCATTGCACATGCGGAGTTGTTCGCGGATATGGAGCAGTTCTACGATTCGTTGGACTTGGGCTGGCTAATCGACACGGGGATCGAGCTGGATTTCTCACCGACAGTTATGGCTATGGAGGTGGAAGCTTTCCTGGGGCCACGACACCCCAAGCACACGGAGTGGATCGGGCCTAGGATCGACCCGTCATGTTCGATCGTGGCGGGCTCAGCTCAAAGGACCAGGTTCGCCAAGGTGTACCTCTTCCCGCTCTTAGACGCAGCCCAGAAGCGAGTCCAGGCAGCGGGTCTGTGGACGTACGTGGACGACACGGTTGGAAGGGTCGAAGGTACCGAGGGGACGGTGGAGCAGCAGATGGTGGAGTTGGTCGTTGAGTTCATCATCCAGGCAGAGCAGCGCAGCCTCATCATCTCGCCCAAGACGGTGCTCGTGGCATCCAATCCCAAGCTCCGAAGACGAATCTGGCGTAGACTACAGCACCGAGGACTCCCTGGCAAGCAACAAAGCGACATGGTGGACTTGGGCACCGACGTCAGTGGCATGGGCAAGCGCACGCAGAAAAAGGCTCGGGCGCGGCAGCGAAAGGCCAAGCAGCGAGCGGGCAAGATCTTCAGACTACGAAGGATGGCGACGCGAGTGGCGAGGATCACCCAGGGCCTTTTCACCACAGGCGTTTCCCCGCAGGAGTCTTATGGGCACGAGGTCTGGGGCATTGCACCTAGCCGAATATTACAGTTACGACGTATGGCCATGAAGTCGGCGGCGGGCACAGGGCCAGGAAGGTGCTTATCCACTGGTATGGCTGTGCTGTACCACCTGAAGGACCCTGGCATCAGCTTGCGACGGCAACTTGTCAGCGAATGGCTACACCAATGGCTCCTTCACCCAGAAATTCACCGACGAGTGCGACAAGTATGGGGGCCGACTTACCGTAAGTTGGCCAGAGCAGGCACGCAGCTGTGGCGTAAGGTACACGGTCCAGTGGCAGCGGTGCAGGCTACTCTAATGGCGGCGGGGTGGAAGCCAATCCAGGCGGCACTATGGAAGCGACCGACACCACAAGGAGACGAACAATGGCAGCTCCCCTTCATAGATGACGATGGCAATTGCGACATCGATGCTATTGAGTACACACAGCTGCTGGAGGATCTGGAGTACGACCTAGAAATGGCGCGGTGGGCTCAAGCGGCTACGCATTTGCACGGGGACGACTTGCAACGAGGAGGAGACATATGGCACATAAGTAAGGATCAGCAAAGATACAGCCAGCGGGCCGAATGGCAAGATTGGGCACTCAATAATGTTGTGGTTACGGGTGGGCAGTGGACTCGGCAACGGCAGATTCAGGCAGGCAACGAGTGCGACACGAATATCTGCGAGAGGTGCAAGCAGGAGCCCGAGACCATCTTCCACCGCATCTACACCTGCACGGCCAACACAGGACACGAAAACTACGAGAAGACGGACTACTTGGCGCCAAAGGCGCTCGCTGGCGTGGAGGCAAATCCGACCTTATGGCTCCGAGGTATCCCGCCCAGAGAGCTCACTCACCCCGTGGTCAACGACGTCGGCAGACAGGACTATGTCAGGTTCGGCGACCACGAAGCAGCTCGAGTGCCAGGGCGCAGTCTGTATCTATTTGGTGATGGCTCAGGCGGTTTCCACGGCGGCGACCCCCGAAGGAGACGAGTAGGCATCGGAGTGGCGACCATGAAGATGATCGACGGCAAGCGGAGCATGTCAGCAGGTACGATGGCAGACCTACCAGGACGGCGTCAAACCGTACCGCGGGCAGAGATCACGGCCTTCGCGATCGCCATAGAGGAAACGAGAGGGGGCATAGTTTACGTCACGGACCACTACCCGCTTCTCACAGCTTGGACAAAAGGCAGAGCTCAAGACCCTGGCCGAGGTAAGAACGCGGATTTATGGGCGCGCATCAAGAGGGCGGTGATGGACACGTCCCCCAGACACATCGTAGTGGAGTGGACCCCGTCGCACCAGAACGGGGACGAGGCCGAGCTAGTCAACCCGATTTTCGCGATGGGAAACAGCTTTGCAGACGCATTGGCTACGGTTGCGGCAGAAGCTTCTTGGGAAAGAGTGTGCGCGCCACTACCACGGACAGACGAATGGGACGCGATCTGTGCTCACGTACGATTGCGAGCGAGGCAGGCCTTGGCGGACACGGCGAACATCGACCCCTGGTGCGCTGAGAGGCCCTCCACAGCCAAGCCCAAAGCCAAGAGGGACCGAGTAAAGGAAGTCGTCGACAAGATGAAGCAGCACGATATGGTCAGGCTCAAGAATAAGTGGTTTTGCACAGCCTGCAGACAGTACATCACAGCGGACGCCCTGCAGGAGTTTGCCACGACGGAATGCAACGCTACGTTCATCACGGCCAACGAGATAGTCGAGGCAAAGGGCGACAGGTTCATGGGCAATGGCAAGATACATCGCAGTCACGTGGTCAGTGAATGGGCGCGGTACGGATTGCCATTCTGTGCGCGGTGCGCAGCGCATGGCACGACCATCGGGAAAAGGCTACGTGAGCAGTACAGCGAGACGATCACCAAGTACGGGCAGGATGCGCTCAACAAGATTCGGGACGGACGCTACCCTGGCTACAGGAAAGAACCACCACAAGCTGCACAAGAGGCTCAAATAGTTAGGCAAGTGCGAGAGCTACATGATCAAGAACGGCTAGCGCCACATGAGTACTGCGGCCCATTGGTTTTGAAGGAGCCCCCTCCAGAACCTCATCCTGCACCCCGACCGACACGGATTACGAGAAAGACGCCAGCGGCAAGCTTTCGGCCAGCAGCGGTACACCCACCAGATTGTGAGTGCGACCCTCTGCCCGAGCCGATGTTACAGGAGTTGGAGGATTACGACGACCCCGAGGTGCAGAGGGACATCGACGACTTCTTCAGCGAAGCTCCCCTGCGCGGTGAGGGGTTAGACCGCGGCGTACCCCAGCGTGGCGAGGGGTTAGGCCACTCCATGCCCCAGCACGGTGAGGGGTTAGACCGTGCAGATCGTCGTCATGCAGCTGGATCGGAAACTCCCCCCCCGCGGCACGCACTGGATGCGCGCAGCCATGTCGGCCACGAGTGCTGAAAGTACCGACCGTGGGGGGAGTCAGAACGGATTGGACAGCCATAACCACGACGACAACTGCATGATGGACGACAACAGCGGAGTATTGGATCAAGCTCCAGGCGCGATGGGACTACCGCCGATCGTCGAGGACACGGGGCCGCAAAATTATGCCGATATTCGCGCTGATCCTAGAGAGTGGGCAACACTGTGGTACGACGATCTTACGTGCTTGGCCAGAGACAGCGACAGCTGGCAGGAGTGGTGCGTAGCGATGCTCACGCAGATGCTCACCGACGAGAACAACCACCCGCTGTGCCGCACATTGAGGCGCTGGTTCCCTGGGCAGACGATGCAGCAGATCATCGAGCAGCAGTGCGGAAGTGCGTGGAGGCAAACGACGGCGAGAAGGGATGAGTTCTACGAACGACTCCATGCGCCAGAGACGGAACCTGAAGAGCATCGCAGATTGGCTCATCGGCATTGGCGTGAACTTGCACGGCTACGAGACATGTTCCGCAGGGCGTTAGGTGATCGGGCGCCAGACAGACAACGGGCGCCACCACCACGACGGCCTGAACCAGATGACGATCAAGCAGGAGACCCCGTCGAAGCTGGCCTCAGTCGCGGCAGCTGGTTTTGCAGGCTGGAGCGGGCGACTGCTGGGAGTACGGCGGCCACGAGTGCACGACCTCCATCCCAAGGGTGGCCTCCAGCGAAGGCTGAGAGGGCCCCTGCCAGTTACCTCCATGAGGGGAGGAAGGCTCCCCACTGTCCGCTTTCGGGCGACGCAAGTCGGAGCCGTGCTGGCGGCGGCCGATCGGCTGGAGGAGGTGCTCCCTCACGCGCAAGAAGGACGTGCAGGGTTTCCACGGCGACAAGCGCATCGGCGGCAACATCAAGTCCAGCGGGTGAGGGACCCCTGCGTGGCGAGGGGTTAGGCCACGACGCTCCCCAGCGCGGCGAGGGTTAGGCCGCTGGGAACATACACTGGCGTGCTCGAGCAGGTTAGCCAAGGCAGCGGCAGGCGACTACATCGGGCTCGAGCTCTACGATGAGGACGACGACACCGCACCCCAGCACGGCGAGGGGTTAGGCCGTATCGGTGAGGAAGGACCCCATCGAGGCGAAGGAGAGCAGAGGCTCGAGGGGCGGCGTCCTGATGGGCAGGAGATTGTGGGGGAGCAGCTCCATGAGCACCCTGACGCGATCTCCCCGAGCCAGGGGCAGCCCGACGACCGCTCCGAGTGGAGGAAAGCACCCCAGCGCGGTGAGGGGTTAGACCGCGGCAGTGAGCGGGAGCAGTACGGGAAGCAGCACGACGCATCCCAGCGCGGTGAGGGGTTAGACCGCAGCCGACCCCTGCAGGGCGAGACTGCGGGGTCAGGCGATCCCCAGCACGGTGAGGGGTTAGACCGTAGCGTTCCCCAGCGTGGCGAGGGGTTAGGCCACCAACCCCAGCGCGGTGAGGGGTTAGACCGCTTCTTTCCCCCGCGTGGCGAGGGGTTAGGCCACACGTTTCCCCAGCGCGGCGAGGGGTTAGGCCGCAGTGGAGCGATTTCGAGCTCGAGCAAGTTGGCGAGTGTGCAGCCTGCCGACTACATTGAGCTGGAGCTCTACGAGGAGGACGACGTGGTGTCCCCCGCCAGCGGCGAGTTGCAGGCGCAGCCCTGTGCGCCTGCCGCCGCCGCCGCCGCTCGCTGGCCCGCCGTCGTGAACCCTTGTGTGCCTGTGCGGGCACCAAGGAGTGGGCCCTCGCTGGCCAATGGGCCGACGAGCGGCGGTGGAACTGACTGATAGAGAAATCCACGGGCTCGCCATGTCGAGTGGGGGCTTCGGTGCCTGCTCGGGGTGGCGGGTCTAGTGGCGTGCCTAACCTAATCCCTCCTCCCTCTTCCCTCCCCTCCTCCCTCCTCCCTCCCCCCTCCTCCCTCCTCCCTCCCCTCCTCCTCCTGCCTCCTCCCTCCTCCCTCCTTCCTCCTCCGTCCTTCCTCCCCCCTCCTCTCTCGTCCTCCTCCTCCTCCTCCACCTCGTCCTCCTCGTCCTCCTCGTCTTCCATGTTCTCCTCCTCCTCCCCCTCCTCCTCCTCCTCCTCCTCCTCCTCCTCCTCCTCCTCCTCCTCCTCCTCCACCTCCTCCTCCTCCTCCTCCCCCCTCCGAGGTGCCCTCGGGTAGGCCGCCATGCGCGGGGTGCTCCGCCCGCGCAGCACCCGCAGGCCCACCGCCCGCGGCGCGCCGGTGCCCCGCAGGCGCTCCTCGCGGCTCCGCCCGCTGGAGAGATGGCGGGCCCCGGGCGCCAGGGGGGGGGCAGGATAGGAGCGAGGATACAGGGCAGTTCTTAATACATCGGATGTGTAAACATATCGGATTTCATACATGATTAGTATATGAGTAGAAAATGCAGGTTTAATGTATACATATAGGTTTAACGTATGCATGACTCAATGGTGTGACTTTAATGCTAAATCCCTGCATGATTAAGACATGATCCGCACGCGGAGCATGTATCAAAAACGGCACTGTGGGAACAACGATACGGCAGGAAGAGCAGGATAGAAGCGAGGAGGATGGGAGCAAGGATAGGAACAATGTTTGTCGCATCTGGCGAGGAGGATGGGAGCAAGGATCGGATCGAGGATAGGAGCGAGGATAGAAGCGAGGAGGATGGGAACAAGGACAGGAGCAATGATAGGAGCAAGGATACGGAAGGAGAAGCAAAGAAGCGAGAAGGATAGGAGCAAAGATAGGAGCATTTGTTTGGTCTCACCCGGCGTTTCCGCGCGTTTTCGGGCCACGGGACCCTCATACGTAGATCGATTTTGCTCGAGCAATCATCCAGAAAGATGGGGTCTGGAGCTCTGGTCGTGATTATTCACTTCGTTGCATTTTATGCAACGTCGGACCTCAGCAAAGTGAGATGAAGCCAGGACGAGGACAAAATCGGTTTCCTCGTCCTAGCCCCGCCCGACGGGCCCCAAGGGGGAAGGACATGGCCCTGTGCGCAGGGGGGAAGGATAGAGCCCGAGCGCCCAGGGACCCGCACAAATCGATCTGGCTCGAAACATGGCACAGAAAGGCGGGTGGGTGGCAGTGGGTGGGGGACCTTACAGGGGGGTGAAGAAAAAGGCCCTAGGGGGGTACCCTTTCTTCACCCCACGGGGCAACAAAATCCCCCGCCTGAGAGCCACCCCGACAAGCGAGGCCGTGTAGTAAACGCACCCGAAGAAATCGAACAGAGCAGGGCTGTTTAGTCAACGCCCAGGGCCGTGTAGCAAACGCCACTTATCCGGTCCAGGTGGTTTTTCTTCCCTCGACTTGTCGGCGGCGAGCGATGGGTGGAAGTGAGAAGGGGCGGGCCTTCTCAGAAGGCTCAGAAGTCCCCCAGGTTTCTGAGAAGTTTCCTGAGCTTCCCCGAAGACAAAAGAAAATGCTCAAAAGGCGCGAGGGCTTCTGAGGAGTCCCGTCGCCTTCTGAGAAGGCCTTATCCTTCTCACTTCCCCCCCTCGCTCGCCGCCGAGCTTAAGTGACCCCCCCACTACCACCCGCCCGAGGATGACGGGGGGAGGTCCAGGGTTCCAGTTGTAATTCTTCGCGGGGAACAAGGGAAAGGCGACGGCAGGAACGGCCATGCCCCATGCAAGCAGCCCCCACGGCAAGAACTCGCCAGGATCCCGAAGAGAAACCGCCCCCTGCCCGGGGGACGTCAGCTGGACGACGATCCTAACATCCTGGCGCCGCCAAGTGTTCACAACGGGAGTCCTCGCACAGATTCGGTCTCGGGGGCCCTCACAGATCGATCTGGCTCGAAAAATTGCGCAGAACGCTTGGGTCGACGGTTTCGGTTGTGTTTTTCGTTCGCGATGTTGCACTTTGGATGGCAGCGTGAGGAACGACGCAGAGAAGCGGGTCCTGCGTGAGGTGCAATGGTGACCCTGCGCGGTGGCTTACGCGGTCCGCCAGCGCGGCACTCTACATTGGAAGCGAGCGCGCTCGCGCGCGACCTTACGCGGGAATCTCGCGCGCGAATGTCGGCACCATCGGCCCCGTATCCTTCCATCGCCCAGCCGACAAATTTGGACGCCGGAAATGGGTAAGGAAAAATGGGTACAATGCCCAACAACAAATGTTGTCCCAAACCAGCAGCGGCCGCTATTGGGCAGGCGGCCTTCTGTCTCGAATGGACACAGGCCGCGGCGGCGTGGACAGCGAGTCCTGCCCAAAATGAACAGGAACTGCTGCTGGGCGTCGTACCCATTCTTTCCGTACCCATTTCGGGCGTCCAGATCTGAGAACAAAAACAACGTTCTCAGAACAAGTTCCCGATGTGCTGAAACGAGACAGTCCCAGCCAGAAATGTCATAGAGCATGTCCTGGAAACCACAGAAAGGTTCTTGGAGCATTGCTTGGCAGGGCTACAGGCGAGCCAGGACGCTTCGCCACTGCTTGAGCTCTGGGCCCAGGCTCGGTGGTGCGCCCGCCCGGCTCTCGGCCACGGGAGAGGCGCGTGCACCGGCCCACGGGGCCCCGGAACGGCCCGAGCCCACCACCGGCCAGGCGGTCGGCGGACGCCCCTCGGGCTGCGCCGGCTGGGCAGGGCCCCCCTCGCTTCTCGGGGGCGGCAGGGACGCTGAGAGCCAACGGGTGTGGAACAACATCGGGGCGGAGGTTTTTCGCAGCTCTCGGCGGCCTCGAGGGGCCGTCGCCGGGCCTCGGGTAGGGGGCCGGATGCGAACCCTACCCCTACCCCCCATGATCTCGGAGGGGGGGTGGGGTTCACTTCGCTCGGGAGCTGCCGAGCGAAGAGACACCAGGCGACTGCAGCACAGTCGTCCCCCTGCCTCTGGAGAGCGGTGTGTGCTCGGCTGCGCCTGCAAGCATGCAAGGGGCACGGAAGAGCTGCACCACACCACCGCCAGGGACCACCAACCGGAGGGGAGCCAGCAGAGGCCTCCCCTGGTGGTTGCGCCCCCCCCCCGCCCCTCTCGCTCGAAGCAGCCCTCTCACCCCCCAGCTCGGGGAGCCGTCGTGGACCTCTCCGCTGGAGGTGGCCGCCCTGGCGGTGGCGTGTCGCCTCTCCTCCCCCGATGCGCCGGGGGGGGGGGGCGGAGGCGGGCTGGGGGCGGCGGCCTGGCGGGCGAGAGCCCGGCGCTGTCGTTTTTTGTCACAACGTGCGTGCTCGCCCGCGTGCGGGCCCTGGGGCTCAAACAGGTCGATCGGGCTCTCGAAGTGGCGTGGAGAGATGGGGTCTGGGGCTCTGGCCGTACAGGGCTTACGATATATACGGATTTTAATACATCGGATTTTTAGATATATACGATTCTGGTACATGCTTAATTTACGACTGAATTTATGCATGAACTCATCGTTGTGTTTAATACTACATCCCTGCATTTTCAATATATGATCCGCACGCGGAACATGTATTAAAAATGGCACTGTAATGATTTACGATGTCGCAATGTGCAGAATTGCGGAAACCCTGAACGCCCCAAAATTGTCCTCTCTTGGGAGGTCGACTCTTGCTTCCGCCGACTTCCGCCGGCATTCCGCCGGCGGAGGCGGCTTCGTTTTACTTCCGCCGACCTTCCGCCGCCCATCCGCCACCTTCCGCCGAGGACGCGAGGACAACTTCCTCGATCCTCAAAGGCGAGGCCCTTTTTGGAACGCCCAATGTGCTGTGCAACGTCAGGTCTGAGGGGTCAGGGAACGGGGAGGGCTGCCAGATAGGGAGGGCGATCCCGAACTCCCTCCGCGTCACGCAGCCCCCTCGTAGAACTCCCTCCGCGTCACGCAACCCCCTCCATGCCCCCCTGCCTGGATGAGGAGGAGGAGGAGGCGGAGGAGGAGGAGGGCGGAGGAGGAGAAGGAGGGGAGGAGGAGGAGGAGAAGGAGGGGGTGGAGGAGGAGGAGGAGCAGGTGGAGATAGGGGAGGGGGAGGGGAAGGAGGAGGAAGAGGAGGAGGAGGCGGAGGAGGAGGAGGAGAAGGAGGATGAAGAGGAATCTGCCTCAAACGTCCAGAAGCTTCGAGCTGCAATCATGGAACCTCGACTCTCGTGAGGAGCTGGTAACCACCCCCCAGTAGGTGGCGACCCCCCTTGGCGCTGCCCGACTTCGGATGCCCCTTGGTGGATCCATTTTCCACCACCACTACCATAGGTAGGAGAGGGAGGAGGAGGAGGAGGAGGAGGAGGAGGAGGAGGAGGAGGAGGAGGAGGAGGAAGAGGAGGAGGAGGAAAAGAAAAAGCAGGAGAAAGACCCCCTCATCCTCCCTTCTCTCCCTTCCTACCTGTGGCAGTGGTGGTGGACTGTTCGCTCACCACGCTGGGCGTTCGGCCCAGGCCAGGTGGGTCCGAGAGCTGCGCCAGCAGCGACGCGGCGGTGGCCCCGGGCGGCAAGGCGAACTCGAGCTCGTGGTTCGCCCCGACCCCGTCGTCGGCCTCCGGACCCGGCCGGTCACCCCTGCCCCGACTCCGGGCGCCGTCCTCCTGCTGGTCCTGCTCGATCTGCGGCCCAGGCGGCAGGCCCGTGCGAGGAGGAGGAGGAGGAGGAGGAGGAGGAGGAGGGGAAGGAGGAGAAGGAGGGGGAGGAGGAGAAGGAGGGGGAGGAGGAGGAGGAGGAGGAGGAGGAGGAGGAGGAGGAGGAGGAGAGGAGGAGGAGGAGGGAGGAGGAGGGAGGAGGAGGAGGAGGAGGAGGGAGAGGAGGAGGAGGGGGAGGAGGGCAAGCTAGGTGCGCTCGCGTCATATCTGACGTCCTACCCCTCCCTCCCATCCCTTATCATGGCGCTGATTTTCTCTATCCGCGGACGCGTGTCGTAGCGGACCTGTGGCTCCGCGCGCGCGGGCGTAGTGGGTGGTGGTGCGCGTGCGTGCGTGCGTGCGTGTGTGCGTGGTTGTGGTGGTGGTGGTGGTGGTGGTGGTGGTGCTGCTGCTGCTGGTGGTGGTTGTGGTGGTGGTGGTTGTGGTGGTGGTGGTGGTGGTGGTGGTGCGGCGCGGTGGTGGCGGGCGGATGGGCGCGCGAGAAAGCGGCCCGCGCTGGGGCGAGAACGCCATCCTGAACGACGGAGGCCCAACACCGATCCGAAAATGAGGCCCACGCTGCAGCGGGAGCACGACTCGGAACGATTCGGGAGCAGAAATGAGGCTGGCGCCTCAGCGAGAGCAGCATTTTGAAAAAAAACGCAGGCGAAAACCCAACTCCCGGGAATCCTGTGTGTAAAAAAGGCCGCCATCGGGGGAAGAGGGAGAGTAGTATTCATATTGAGTAATTGTGGAGGAGGAGGAGGAGGAGGAGGAGGAGGAGGAGGAGAGAGGAGGGAGGAGGAGGAGGAGGAGGAGGAGGAGGAGGAGGAGGAGGAGGAGGAGGAGGAGGAGGGGGAGGAGGGGGAGGAGGAGGTCGGGTGTCCACCAGGGCCAGGCGTGCCGCCCGGGCGGTGCGGGGCGCAGAAACGCAGAGACGTCGTCCACGTGGTTCCCCTCCTGCCGACGCGGCCTCGTGAGGGGAACAGTTCCCTGACCTTCCGGAGGCCAAATACTGCACCCCCCCCAGACGTTGGGGCCCTCGGCTTCTGGTCAGCGTCCGCCTCTCTCTCTCTCGCTCTCTCTCTCTCTCTCTCTCTCTCTCTCTCTCCCCCCCCAAATATATCGAGGGTTTGGGGTGTACGTGTTGAGCGGCTCGCGGGCGGCTAAGAGCGAGCAGACGTAAATGATTGTTGTTGTTGTTGTTGTTGGTGGTGGTAGTGTTGAATGTGTTGTTGTTGTTGTTGCTGCTGTTGTTGTTGTTGTTGTTGACTTCCCACTTCTGCAGACTGAGTGCTGTTCCCCCCCTAACTAAGGTTACTTATCGAAGTGAAGGGACTGAAATCTTTCACTCTCTCTGGGCACGTGGCCGACGAGAAGTTCCGCGGTGCGGATTCCTAAATTCTCATTTCTAAAATAATATTGTTGATCACCTCCAATAGCTATTTTATGTTACGCTTAAACTGCTTGTCCCGTGGTTCGCATCCTGTTTCTTACAAGGGGCAGTGAGGGGTCACCCAACTAGGTTGTTGGGCCCCGAACTACGACAACAACGGCTCCCGCCTGATATTTTCTCACAGTTCCATTATTCCCAAATCGCGCTCTCGCGCGGGACTTCCTCACACTCTATACAGGAATCGCGCACTCGCGTGGGACTTCACTCAGACGCCGCGCCCCTGACACTCAGGAATCACGCTTTCGCGGTGGATTTTCTGACGATGCATTTTGGAATCGCGCTGTCGATGGAAACCTCCTCGCGATTCATGCAAGCCGCACGCGTCAGCACTCCGCCTGCTCGACCTGGCCGCCCGGGCCCGCCTTCCCTGCCTGAGGGGCTGCACGTAACACACGCTGCAGGTAAGAGAGATGCACCATCGAGGGGGGTACGATCGAAGACAAAGAGGGCGGGTACCGAGGGTTTGGGATGCACGTGCTCCTTCAGAGCGCGAGCAGGTGAGGGCGAACAATCTCAAAATGGTGTGTGCTGTTGTTGGCGTTGTTGCTGCACTCCCGCTTCTGAAGCATGATTGATTTTGATCCACCTCCTCCGGTCAACATTGCACTTTTCAATTACAGTGCTTCTCCCTTCTAGCACTCTGTTTGTTGTTTACAAGGGGCAGACTTAAATGAGTGGTGTGTTTGTTGCTCTGAATGTTGTGATGAGTGTTGTGTTGTTGTTGCTGGTGTTATTAATGTTGTGATGTATGTTTGTGTTGGTGCTGTTGAAATTGTTGTTGCTTTGCGTGTTGCGTAATTTGCTGATTGTTGTTCGTTGTTCGATGTCGTCGTGCCACCCGCGACTCGGCCCGCGTCCCACCCACGACCCGACCCGAGACCTGGCCTGCGACCCGACCCGCGACCCACCTGCAACCCACCCCGCGTCCCACCCGCGACCCTCCCCAAAACCCACCCGCGACCCACCCGCGACCCTCCCGCGACCCACTTGTTTTAACGGCGCCTGCGGCGGGCTCGCTGTATCATTTCTAAAATTCAGACGCCTGCGGCGGGCTCCTGCAAGGCCTCGCAGATTGCCGACGTCCCCGTCGCCTCCTCACTCTCAATTATCCGCAACTGTGGGGGGCGTCGCAACTTTGGGCCACTTGCCCTCGCAAACCCTGTCGAGATGACCCAGTCCTGTTGGTATAGGCAGCATACAGACCTGCGTGAGGATGCAGAGGGAACAGGGAGGAGGAGGGAGCCTATTCCCCCTATACCCTGAGATCCGACGTTTCGAACAAATTGCAAAATCGCAGAGAATCATGACACGAGCCCCGGACCGCATCTTTCTGCGACATGTTTCGAGCCGCATCGATCGGTGAGGGTCCCAGAGCCCGAACTGGAGCGCAGACGCCGGTGGTGCAAAAATTGCTTCTTGGATCGCCGCGGGAGTTGATCAGAGGATAGGGGGATTCAAGTGGATGCCAAGGTGGCTTCTATCCAGCCTAACCCAGCTTAGAAGTGGGTTGCACGTGCCCTGAGTTGCTTAAGGGCGTACAGACCTGGGCCGAGTGGGCGGAGCCCACTTGGCGGGGTGACCTCATCATCTTAAGCCACATAGGGCACCTGTAAGCCACTCATGAGGTGTCTTAGACCAGAGACTAGACCCACTTTAGCATCCACTTCTGCCCCCCCCCCCATCCCCTCAGCAACCACGCAGGATCTCAAGGTACATCTTTTAGGGAAACGAATAATGACATAAACATAAAAACTCGGAGGTCCGCGCGGATTTCTCGGATCCGCGCTGGACCCCCCTTCCCTGGCGCGCGGAGCGCGCCAGGGGCGGCGCCGGAGGCGCCGCCGGGGGGCCCCAGCGCGGATCCGAGAGCGCCGCTCGATCTGTTTATAGGTTTATGGCACTGTTCGTTCCCGCAATCTCCCCCCCCCCCCCCGCCTCGAAGCGGGCCACCCGAACGAAGTGAACCCCACCCCCCCCCCCTCAGAAATCGTAGGGGGTAGAAGTGGGGTTCGCATGTGGCCCCCTACGGCAGGTTCGTGTCGTGCCGACCCCAGCGTTGGTTTTTGACACCGCAGGGATCGTTCAACCTTGAACGATCGGCCGTTTCCGCAACGTCCAATCCTTCCACATCGAACGATTCTGGGTCGCCCGCGGCGTTCAACGTTGAACGTCGGCGGCGGGGTCTCCGCCGGTCGACACGACGCGAACCTACCGACCCCCCCCCCGCCGCGCCTCGAAGCGGGCCACCACCGTGACCCTGCCGGGCTCCCCGCCGCGGGGCGCGCCAGGGCGGGCCGCTCGCGCGGCCACCGCCTGCGCCTGCCCCATGGCTTTAGAGAGCTCCGCGCCGCCGCCCCCCGGCGCCGGCCCCGCGGGCGGCCCCCCGGGGGGGGGCCCCGGCCGCGCTGCCCGGGGGCCGCCGCCCTGGGGAGGAGGAGGAGGAGGAGGAGGAGGAGGAGGAGGAGGAGGAGGAGGAGGAGGAGGAGGAGGAGGAGGAGGAGGAGGAGGAGGAGGAGGGGGAGGAGTAGGAATAGGAATAGCTACATGACGGCGTCATATCAAACAGGACGGGCACGCGCTGCCAAGTCGGCAGCACTCCGCACCTCGGGCACAAGACCTCTCCTGATACGATCCAGGTACTCTCTCCTCGTCGGGTTCAGGGGCTTGTGACACGACTGTTTGAGATCGCTCCGAAGGTTATGGGAACAAAAGATACCGCACTTCCCGCAGAACCAGAGCCCCAGAGTGTGATGATAAGTTAATTCGTGCGATTCATGCGCCCACCCCCCAGCTAGGTGCAGCCTGACCCCCGTAGGCTTATGTGAGACGACGGAATCGACAGTGGTTAAATCGAAGCAAGGCGTGCTTAACCACTCTTTAGCAGTAGGTCGAGCGGCACTGCTATGACAACGGGTGCATGTAAGCCCACACTCACTTAGGGAATGGGACGTACTAAAACGTGCTGCTACTAAAGGGTTGAGAGGAGGAGGCGGGGGAGGCGGAGGGACGGGTGCCTCAGCATCACCTCGTGCGACAGCACTTCGGGCTTCACGCTCGGCGTTTTTTTCAGCGGCAGCTGCATCAAGGGTGGCTCGCAAGAGCCTCCTCCGAACAAGTCCAACCTTGCGTTCACAATCAAATATGCGTGCACGAACTGATGAGGCGATCCTATGCCTCTCCGCTGCGCCATCTGCCAGCGCATCAGCAACAGCATTTCCAATTAACATCCAGTTGTCCACATGCTTCTTGGCCGCATCTCCTGCTGAGAGGTGCGAGGTGATCTGCAGGACGAAAAACTCCGATGGATCACGCTCGTGAAAGTGCTGGCCAACCTCACTCCATAAAGTGCTCAACTCTCCTGAACATGTCCGATATTGCTTGTCATACCAACCTCTGCAGACGGACTCGTTGTCAGTCACGAAGATGGTCGGTCCCTTCGAACCTCGGGCTGCCCACTCCAGTGCGCGCAGCTCGCCACGAGGAACTGACTGCACGCGCCCTGTCAGAGGGCCCGAGACTGTGATACCAATATTAGCATGAACGAAAAGCGTGCGCAGTGAGTCATTGTCTGCGCCCTGCTCAAGCCACTCGCCGCAGAACTCCTGAGATGCTTGTTGCCAGAGGTCCCCCTCCAGCGACTCCTTGAAATCAAAAAGAAAATCTGATGGATCCACATGCTTGGAAACGATAACCTCATCGTCGAAAATCCAATCCACTTCTGAGTAGCCGTGCCGTGCAAGTCGTGTCCAGCGCGACGGTGTCTGGGGGTCCCACCGTGCATTCACGAGGTAGGTGACAACTGCCGATAGTGGACCTCGCACATGACGCGATCTGTCCGAGGGAGAAAGTGCTTTGACGGATTCGACGAGGCTGCTCCAAATACGACGAACACCACTGCGGATCTCGGGATATTCCACCCAGGTCGAGAGCCACAGCTTGAGACAAAGTTGTGGCAGCCTCACAGCAGGGTCCTCGCCCTGTGCCCGCAAATCCAGGAGTGTTGTCAAACATCTCCCACGCTGAGTTGCCCCAGCGACTGCGCCAACTTGACGGCGCATGTTCCTCAGCTCGGTGCCAAAGATGCCGTGCACCTGGTGCGCGTAGGCTGCAGAAGCCTGTGGACCAGCCAGCTGCACGCGCTTGGTGACGTAGTAACACTTAGAAGCGAAAGCGTGACCGCGCAGCCGCACGTGTCGAGCCTTCGCCTTGACCACTCGAGCTGCCCGAGTGGCTCGAGCGGCGTGGCGGCCTAGGAGGAGGAGGAGGAGGAGGAGGAGGAGGAGGAGGAGGAGGAGGAGGGGGAGGAGGAGGAGAAGGAGGAGGAGGAGGAGGGGGGGGTCCCTGGTCGCGCTGCTCGGGGCGAGCTGCCCCCCGAGGGGGGGTCCCTGGCCGCGCCGGCTCGGGGCGGGCTGCCCCCAGGGGGGTCCTTGACCACGCTGCTCGGGGCAGGCTGCCCCCGGGGGGGGGTCCCTGGCCGCCCTGTGCTCGAGGGGTGTCGTCGGGCCCAACGGTCCGACGATCCCGAAACATCTGGGCGGGCGGTTTGGCCTGTTTTGCCCTCGCCCGACCGTCAAAAGACGACTCGGGAAGAGGAGGCGGCCCTGGGGAAGTGGTCCAGACCTCCGGGGCCCACGCATCAAAAAGTTTGGAGCAGACCGCTGCCTGGGGACTCGAGTAAGGGATCGATAACAAAGTGTATTCACCCTGGGACGAATTGTCACGCCGCATCTACAAACGAGTACGCCGATGTGTCGCAGATCCCTCGAAACTTCTACGAACGTCCCCTGCATGCGACAAGGCAGATCCATTCTGGGGCAAAAATCGCTGCTGCAGTCGATCCCCTCTTCGAGGGACGGCGGTTCCCCGAGGTCCTGGCGTGGCACCGTCTCCACGCCGGGCGATGCTCGCTCGTGTTTTCGGGCCCCGGGGGCCCCCACGGCCCGATGCGGCGCCAGAAGGACGATGGCGCAGAGAGAGGGGGTCCGGGGCTCCGGTCGTGGTCTCTCTGGCGCCGTGGTGACTTCCCTGACCCTCAAAAAGGTCTGGAGGGAGGAGGGAGGAGGGAGGAGGGAGGAGGGACCTCGAGACCTCCCTCCTCCAGGGCCTCGGGATCTCAGTTCAGATAGGTCCCTAGGTCTGGAGGCCTGCTTGTACTGCCATCTGTAAGGCGAGGGTTCTTTGGCAACGTCCGACCCCCTAAGGTTTTTTTTGTTCACGTCGACATTGCGGCTGGCTCTGTGAAGTCGGCGCAGAGACTCGATGCAACGAAAACAGCGGCACGGAAGCCAGGATCACCCCAAGACGAAGCCGGGACAGAGACAAAATCGGCAGGGACAGATTCGGGACCTCAGAGTGCCAGCGGCTCTGGAAGATGTATCGGGACCTGCGGCCTGATCAGCACGGTCCAGAACGCTCTGACAGCATTCCAGGACGAGCTGGATCGATCTGTCCCTGTCCCAGCCCCACGTGGCACCCCCGCCCATCCGCGGCGGCGGCCCACGGCGGCGTCGACGTCATCGGCCCAACGATTCGACGGTGGAAGGCCCGGCCAGCGAGCCGAGCACGCCAGGCCAGGCCGAGGATGCCGAGAGGCGGACAGCGCGGCCCACCGCGCGGCCGTGCTGTCCGCGCCAGCGCGGGCCTGCTGCGGCAAGGGCAGGTGCAGCTGTCCGGCGCTCGCTGCGCAAGGGGAGGCCGAGGAGGAGGGCAGGAGCGGCCGCACGTGGAGGAGCAGGTGGCGGGGAGGGCGCAGAGCGAACAGGCAAAAGTCCATCGTCCATGCAGGAAGGGCGGGCGCGCCTGTGGCACGCAGGCCCTCTGCGCAGGCTGGTGGATGCGGGATCGGGCCGGCCAGTGCCGCGCGTGCTGCATCCCAAATGCTGTCCGCTCTTCCTGGGGAGGGCAGAGAGCGCAGAGGGAAGGGTAACTGAAGGGAGAGGGAGGGGCGCAGAGTACAACAGGGCATTCTGATCAGCGGTGCCAGCAGTGCCTAATCAGCGGCGCTAGCGGATTGAGACGACATCGTATCACACGAGCGAAACGAGTCGAGGCAAAGGGTGCCATTAAAACGTACGGTGGCTGGTGCTGTTCCAAGCGGTGCACCAAGTGCCCCTCCGTGCCGCGACATCATTGGTGGGCGTGGCAAGGCAGTGGATGTTCGTCTTTCGCTTGGTGACAGACCCTGCGAGCTGTGTTTCCACGCAGGATGGGACAAGTGGCCACATTCGGGCAACGACGACGCATTGGCTGCCCAATTCACGACGCTCCTCCGTTGCGACCCTGGCGCGGGCCCAGTTGCGAGGCACGAAAAAACATGGCTCAGCACAAAACACAAAAAACTGTTCTGAATGAGCAGCTCTGACGCAAAATAAACAATTACTCGAACCGCTGTCGCCCTCGGCGAACCTTCTTTCAGGCCCGCAGGGCGTGCTAAGATCTCCGGTAACACCCAGATCATGCGCTACCGAAAAATTTGGGTAGCGATCGGGAACGACCGGTCGCGACCGATACCGAAAAAATTTCGGTAGCGATCGGTCGCGGCTCGTTACCGAAAAACCATCGATTTCGGTAGCGAACGGTCGCGGTCGGTAGCGGATTTTCAACGATTTCGATGAGAATATCAAGAGGCCGTTACCGACCGTTACCGACCGTTACCCATTTTGGTCGGCGACCGTTACCGACTGATTTTTGATGATTTTGTATGCCAAAACCATCATCAGTAGCATCATCACCAGCATTCCCAACATAGCATCAAAACAATCATCATCCCATCATGATAAGCAGTATAACACTCATCATATCATCCCAACAGGCATGCCAACGTAATCATCATACCATGATATCAGTGATACATATAATAACCATACCATCATCATATGATGATCATCACCATCATATCATGATCATGATCATCACAACCATGACCAACATAACATTCATATCATGATCATCACCATCATACCATCATCATCCTCACTATCAGGGCCGTCACCACCACAACCCCAATCAACACCATCATCAACACTACCATCTATGTCATCATGCTCATTATATCCATCACCTCATCATCCTACTTCTCGCGCGTCCCCTCCTCGTCGTTCTCCTCTTACTGTTCGTACGCTACTCAGTGCGATTTCACCTTGGACCGACGGCGCCGCGCCGCGCCGAAGCCGCCCAGAAGTTCAAGCAGCGCCCAGCGTGGCGACGTACATGAGGAGGAGGAAGAGGATGAACATAATTAGGTGGATGAGGAGGAGGAGGAGGAGGAGGAGGAGGGGGAGGAGGATCGGACGCCATTTGGGGCCACCAGATCGGGGACAGAGAAGGAGGGCCGAGGAGAGGGATGAGGAGGAGAGGGCGGAGGAGGAGGAGGAGGAGGAGGAAAAGAGGAGGAGGAGAGGGAAGAGGAGGAGGAGGAGGAGGAGGATAATAGTGAATCCCCCCTTTGTCCTATCAGAATGACTGCGAACTGCGAACTGCGAACTGCGATCGGCGAGAATACGAACTGCGAACTGCGAACTGCGAAAACTAAGAACGACAACGCTCAGGATGAAAGACCCCGAAAGATTACCACGTTGCGACGCTCCGAGGCCCCACAGGGGCCTTAAGCCGTCGTCTCCCAGAATCACGAGCAGCGTCCAGCGTGGCGACGGACGGCCTGCAAACAAACCTTGTCCTGGTGACAGGGTGGCCCAAGTCGACGCGACAGGGTCCCTGAGGGCCCATGACTGTATCGGACACCATCTCCGAGCCAAGTCCAGCGCGGCGGCGACGGAGGGGAGGGGGAGGCGTCGAGCTTGGGCGTGGAACTCGGTCCAAGGGGGACAGCGTCACGGAGCGAGAGAGAGAGAGAGAGGGAGAGACTTCGCCATTTCTGAGGCGTCGAGCGCGTGCCTGGAGCTCGCTGCCAGGCGGACAGAGCCACTGGGCGAGAGAGAGAGAGAGGGAGCGGAGCTGGAGGGCGTCCCTTCCTCCCTCGTATTCATCTTCGTCCGTCGTCAATCTACCTGCTCATCCTCTTCCCCCCATCCTCTTCGTCCTCTTTCTCCTCTTCCCCTCCTCCTCATCCTCCTCCTCCGTATCACCCCCCCCCTCCTCCTCCTCCGCCTCCTCCTGATAATCCGTCTTTCCTCCCCCTCCTCCCCCCTATATCCTGATTCACTCCGCGGTTGTACCATCTTACGTTTATCTTACGTAAGATAAACGTAAGATGCATGCGTTCGCACCTGGTGGTCACGCAACACGTGCTATCTTACGGCGATCTGACGTAAGATAGACGTAAGACACGTCAGTGCATGAACTTGGAGAGAGGCTAAAATACATCGCCCGTGCGTGGCCAGAATGCAGAGCAAGAGCCAATCTGCAAGCACGCCCCTCCCACCCTCCACCGCAGAGATGGTGGACGGGGGAGGGGGCGAGGAAGGTGGTTGCGGTGGCGTGTGCGTGGCGGGGTGGGGGGCGTGGAGGGGATAGTAAAGCATGAGCAGGGAGAAAGGGATGTGGGAGGCGGAAGTGGAGGAGGAGGAGGAGGAGGAGGAGGAGGAGGTTGGAGGGGCAGAAGGAGGAGGAGGTGGAGGATATGACAGGACCTGGCCACTCTGGGTTGGCGTGGGAGGGGCTTGCATGCGATTGCAATCGCAGCTCCTAGTCCATGCTTCCACGCGTGAACTCCAGGTCCGCCACCCCCCGCCAAGGGGCCGCAGGCAGAAGAAATGGCCTCGTCGACGGCACTACACGCCGACCCCCAGGCGATGGAGACAGGGGCCCCGCACGGCATCCCTCCCCCCAATCCCAAGGGGTTCGGCAGCGCGCCTTCTCCGAGACAGGAGGGCTGAGGGGGGCGGGGGGATGGAAGGAGAGGGCGGGGAGGCAACGGGAGAATGGTTAGGGAAAAGGATTGGGAACAAAGGGGGGTGGGGCTGGAAAGGGAGGAGGAGGAGGCTGCCGAGACGGAAGAGGCTTTGGGAGGCACAGGGAGGAGGGAGAGAGGGAGAGGAGGCATGGGGGAGGCGACGATCGGCGACAGCGACGCTTCTCTCCGTCCCACGCCCCCCCTTGTCACCCTCACCATCCCCTTCCCCATCGCTCTCATCATCATCCTTCGCTTCCTCCTGCTCCCCGCCTCTCCCTCGCCCTCCCCATCATCCTTGCCCCCCTCCTCCTTTTTTTGTAGCCAGCATAGACGCTTCCAAAAAAAGGCAACGTGGATAGACGGAGTCATACATATGCCTACCAGCACGCATTCGCTCCGCCAGCTTACAGCTGACTGACGCGATCGACGTCCCCACGGCGCACGCGCTAGCAACCCTAGTCACGAACCTCTGATAGTCTTCTGGCTGATAACACCATACGTACTTAGGGTTGAGGGGCACCTGCCGAAGCAGGTGCCAGAAGAAATGGTGTTTGTTCACCATTGACCATTTCTTTTTCCCCTGGTCCAGAGCATGCCGTGCCAACGCCGAATAGCATGTGAGGTAGTTGTCGCCCGCCCGCTGCAGCGCGGTGCATTGGGCGTCGGTCAAGAACATATCCCCAACGTCTATGATCTGGTACACTTGACACAAGCTTTTGAAAAGCAACGTACGCGTTCGCATAATGTTGGACCCCGTATCGTAATCCTGGGCTAGCTGGTAGCACACGGTGGCGAGCGTTCTGGTCTCGGCTGCTTTCACAGCCTTGGACAACGTGGGATACTTGGCGTGGGGCGCATCCTTGTCAGCGACAAACATACTAAACTTCAATGTAGAAATACGGTGGTCCAGTCCACGATCCCTATAGATGGCCTGAATTCTATCCCAGACTCGAGCTACCCTGTCGTTCCTGCTGCCGTGCCCCTGCTCGATCACGATTTCGTATAGCAGGTTGGCCACCGACTGGGCGGTGATCCCGATGTCCATGCAGTGCATCACGTCTAATGCTAAAGTTCGTACTGTGACGCCCCATATATCATACAACGGATGGGTGACCCTGTAGTCGCGCTCCTGGAATTTCCAATGGTTTGGGGTCTCCTCTGGGGAAGGGGCCGCGGCCCTAAACGCGAAACACCTCCACCAACCTACGCCATACCCACCCTCCACCCACCCCCGCCCTCATCCCTCCCACACCCCGCCACGCGCACACACCACGCCCTCCACACCCTCCACGCACCCCTCTCACGAGCCCCACACCCTTTAAAAACAACACGGGGCGAAGGGTTGCACAAGTCCTCCGCGAAGTTGTTGAATGCATTCTCACCGTCGCCCCTGGAACAAGGGCAGAGCCAGCAAAACATATCTTCACCAGGGTACGGCATTTGCAGGTGGGACGCATAATATTCCAAGTCCCCGAGCACGGCGTATATGAAGGCCTTGAAAGGCCTGTCAGCCGAACGCAGCCATTGCCCTGCAAGCCTAGAGCGTTCTGAATCCAAGGGGCCACCATTCCAGTCCGACGCCCCCGCCGTGCCGAGGGACCTCATGGATCAACGGGTATGCCTCTCACTCGCACGTCCTGCTTCCCCCGCTCCTTGCCACCCTCGCTCCCATCGCTCCCCCCCCCCTTCTCTATCTCTAAGCGGCCGCTCGGTGGCACAGGCGGCAGTCAGGCGCGACAGATCAGGAGCGAGAAGGGATGGGATTGAGAGAAGGACTGTGAATGCGAGACGAACGCACCGAAACCGACGACGACACGCGAAGGAGGAGGAGGAGGAGGTGGAGGAGGAGAGGCGAGCAGCAGGAGGAGCAGGGAGAGGCGGGGGGGAGGAAGAGGAGGAGGAACAGGAGGAGCAGGGGGAGGCGGGGAGGAGGAAGAGGAGGAAGAGGAGAAGGAGGAGGAGGAGGAGGGATGCGACTACCCAGTTGGTGTTTTCAGAGTGGATCGGCGAAGCCTGGTTTATCCACAATTGGGTGCTTCCCCTCCGCCAGGGCATTAAACGACCACTTGAGCACTTTCCATATTTCGACGAAGCTGTCGCGGCCACCATGGTGGCGCTCTTTAGCCATAATGCTAGCAGGCCAGGATGCCAGGTTCATCGTTAGAGTCTTTGTGGTGCCGACGGCTAGTAACCCAGTCATACTGACGGTGACCAGCGAATCTCGAGTAAGAAACTCTGCGCCGTCTCCGTGTACTCGGAGCGGCAGCAGCGCCGTGCCACGGTCGCGTATTTTCCAGGCAGGATGCTCTCGAAGGCGAGGCTCGTTCCTGGGTTGATGTTTCACGCCTGGGGCAAGCACAGCAAGGGTAACGCAACGTTTTACTATCACGGAACTGGCACATGAGTAAAATCAGAGGAAGTCTCAAGCACGGGCGACATCAAAACAGTTCCCCTCCTCCTACCATCAACCTCCCGCCTCTTCCGCCCTCCCCCCCCCCCCCCACGCCCGCCATGACCCCCTCCACCTCATCGCCTC